GAAAACTACATATGTACTTATTTATTGCAAAAGCACTTTTAGGTAAGTTACCTTCTTATATATCAAATCTTTTAATTTATTACACAAATACCTACCAAACTAGGTCTGGATCTCATCTCCGGCTAAAAGTCCCAAGGGTACTGTCAGAATTTGGTAAAAGTGCTTTTTCTTTTTACGCTCCTTCCTTGGAGTTGGAATGAATTACAAAATGTATTGAATTTAGATGCACTTCCAACTCTGACCTCCTTTAAACGTCTCTTGCTCAATGTTTTAAAGGACAATTGCAATTGTTTTTCTTAACTCGTCTTGATCCATGTTGTTTGTGAATGTGTAAATTGTGGTATTTTATTCTGTGATTCTTGTGTATGAAATTTATTGTGCTGCCGTCTTGACCAGATCTCTCTGGAAGAAGAGATAGTAATATCTCAATGTGACTCTCCTGGTTAAAAAATAAAGGAAATATATATATACATATATATAAAGTGGCTTGACATTTACTGGCAGTTTTTTTTTTTCTTGTCTTCAGAATTCACAAAGATGTCAGGAAGACAGTGGATCTCTGTCAGAAGGTGGAGGCAGCGGGCGTCTCATGGATTACAGTTCACGGACGTACATCCGACGAGAGGCACCAGCCTGTTCATTATGATGCCATCAAGACCATCAAGGATAGCCTTTCCATCCCAGTCATCGCTAATGGTGACATCAAGAGCTTGCAGGATGTGGAGGCCACCTACGCCCTCACAGGGGTGGATGGTGTGTGTCAGATTAACACCCTCTCCACATGGATGATCTTTATCCGATACCTGTATCTGATACCGTTGAATCTCTGCAGGTGTGATGGCTGCTCGGGGATTGCTGGCCAATCCTGCCATGTTCGCTGGGTACGAGGAGACGCCGCTGCAGTGTGTGTGGGACTGGGTGGACATCGCTGTGGAGCACGGGACCCCCTTCAGCTGTTTCCACCATCACCTGATTTACATGCTGGAACGCATCACCTCTCAGCCCGAAAGGAGGGTGTTCAATACTTTATCCAGTACGTCTGCAGTCATCGACTTCCTCCACAACACTTACGGCTCCACATAGTTGTTTTTAATGAACGTATTCTTTTATAAGTTAAAATAAAGGCGAAACCTTGGTTCACACGCACACACATTGGTCAATCCTTCACGTGATCATGATGCTTTCAAATCCTTCAAAACATTCAATCCTATAAAACATGACGCTTTCAAAATTGTACAAAAAAGACAGCAAGAACGAGGTAACATTGCAAAAAAGGCAGTTTTATTAGTTTTCATTTGTATTAACTGTAATTGTAGCCATGTTATTTTTATTTTATTACATTGACAATCTATTAATTAACTTTCTAGGCACTAATAATCAATTAATATTCAACACAGATTTTACTGAATAACAAAATCAGGTTTAATAATGTACAAACTACAACAAGACCAAATTAAAACGAAAAAAAAAAAAACGTCCATATTAAAGAGACTTGTTTATTAAAAGGAGTAGTTCACTTTTAAAAAAAAAACTTTTGCTGATAATTTACTCACCCCCATGTCATCCAAGATATCCATGTCTTTCTTTCTTCAGTCGAAAAGAAATGAAGGTTTTTGATGAAAACATTATAGCATTTTTATCCATATAATGGACTTCAATGGGAACCAAACGGCTCAAGGTCCAAATGAGAGTTTCAGCACAAACTGTTTAAAGGGCTTTGAACGATTCCAGACGATGAATAAGGGTCTTATCAAGCGAAATGATTGCTCATTAAAAAAAAACTCTCGAACTGTTCGAACTTGTTTATCAAAATGAACAAATCTTTTTTCGTGTCATTTGGTTCATTCAATAAATGAATTGACTCTAGTCTGGAATTTTTTTTTTAATGAGCGATCGTTTTGCTAGATAAGACCCTTATTCATCGTCTGGAATCGTTTAAAGCCCTTTGAACTGTTTGCACTGAAACTGTCTTTTGGATCTTGAACCGTTTGGACCCCAATGAAGTCCATTATAAGGAAAAAATCCTGGAATGTTTTCATCAATAATCTTAATTTCTTTTCGACTGAAGAAAGAAAGACATGGACATATTGGTAGATGACAGTTGGGTGAGTAAATTATCATAAAAAAGTTTTTTTTTTTTAAAAGTGAACTACTCCTTTAACTCTGATTACATTTACAGTGTATGTACTTATAACACAACCTATACTTGAGAGGATGTTCAGGGGGATTTATATACAAGGGATGCATAAAAACTAATGAACTCACTGCACAGAAGCACATTGCACACTATTATTGCAGTCTGACCAAATAAATTACAATAACTCTTAATTTATTTTAATAAATAAAGAAGAATGGTGGGGGTGGGTAGAATCCAGGCAGGAGGGTAACCCCAAATACTAAAGCTGCCTATAGTGAAATGCATTTTACACACAGTATTGCTGTTTGTAGGTGTATCAGACCAATTTTAGGAACTCTTTGGGTATTTAGACAGAAAAAAATAGGGGGGTATAAGGGTAGGGTTAAGATTAGGATTAGGAGTAGGTGGATTAGCACAATATAACGCCTATAGGGTTACAGAATTTGGTGGGTCACAAAATTCGGCATAACACCAGCAATGGAATATGCAGAATAATATCTAGTACCTCCTTAAAAATGTATTATGAATTAATATGAGTAAATTAAAACAGTGGCCGGTAACATGCTAGTATGCCTATCTGAGTGTGTTATAACCATAGGCTACTTATTATTAGAAATAATCGCATTGTTGGTGCACATGTAAGCGTAGTCACTGCTGCTGCTCAGAGTCACTGAACGGCCCTCCTACAAAACCAGCTGCGTTTACAGACACAGATGTACATGTTTACCTAAAGGAAGAGAAAATCAATCAAGCCATTACATTATGATTTACAGCACTAATTCTAGATGATCAGACAGTGGCTCCTCATACAATAGTGTCTGAAAGTCATGTTGTGACTGTGTGAAACAAACATCACACATGCTTTTATGGTGAAATTGCATCTTTTTCCTAATTCACAGCATTTATGTTATGTTGTGTTGACCAAAAAAATTTAAAAATTATATATTACATGAAAATTATAAAAACAATAATATAATCTTTCCATATTTAACTTTTTAAATATAATGTTTGTGTTTGATTTATATAGTTTAAGGTTGTTGTTTTTTTTAGCTTTTAAATCTGAAATTTTTGTGCAAAAAGTGGCTCCTAACGGCCAAATTCTAAGAAAATTCTCAGAGTCATGAAGTTTTCTTAGAATTTCCCCTAAAAGTGACACGAAAATCCCAGTTAATATAAAAGCTATTCCTCAAGATTCCTAGCGCTTAAAAGGGCTCCTAAGGCGAGATCTGCTAAGAGCAGGGAAGAGGACTTTTAGTGGCTTAGGAGTTCCCCTAAACAGCTGCACATAATGGCCATTCTCCATTTCTGTGTTTGTAGGATATTTGTTAACAAGCCTTCATAAATAGACCAGCCAGCAATCACAGACATTGATAAAAGCTGAGCCGTGTTACCCTCGTGAGTTGTAACGTTGCAGTTCATTAAGGACAGCCCCTTGAGATAGGCCATCTTGTTTTCAATGGGGTCCATATGGGAGTGAAAGTACAAAATATGCCAGCTAGGATATTAATATGAGCAAATAAGACACGAATAATTATTTGAACAGGGTGTAATGAGCTTAAGTTTTCACATATTTTAGATTCTAATGTTAGGCTATAACCCCTACAGCTTACTATTCATTTTCCAGATATTTTCTTGAATTTGAAATCTTATTTACAATTACAGTCTGCATAAGATTAGAGTGTATTATTATGTTTATTGATTTGAGGGTACATCCTTTGCTCATTATCACCAAAAGTTCATTTTCATCAAACTTGTAGGATCAACCAACCATTGAAATGATGACTCATACCTAGCAACGGGGTCAACCACACCTCCTCACTATATAGGATTCTCCATCCATTCCTTGCTCAGAGTTCATTGAAAATGTTCTGGAATCACTTCTAAGCTAAAACTCCTGGCAAGGAATTTTTAGGTTAAGTTAGGAGCTCTCTGGAAGGATACGGGCCCAGAAGTCTAATATAGTGATGACTGTGTGGAAAATGAAGAGACTCTCGATACTCACACTGGAAGTCCAGCGTCACTGATGCGTTCTGAGTGCCGTGTTCGTTCTGAGCTGTGCAGACGTATCCTCCGCTGTGTGTCGGGTCGGTGTTGCTGATGGTCAGGTTCTGTCCGCTCTGCACTGGTTTCAGTGGTTCTTCAGTGTCTCTGTACCAGGTGTAGTTGAGCACCGGTGGGTTTGCGTCACTGCTGCAGCTCAGAGTCACTAAACGGCCCTCCACAACAAACCCAGATCCAGTCACATGAGCAGATGTGTTTTTAGGGGCGTCTAATGGAGGAGAAAAACATTTAGGCCATCAATTAAAAAAAAAAAATTTGTAAAGTCATTATTGCAATGAAATAACACTAATGTAAACATGGGAAGTAATTAGTGAAAAATAAAAATGCTTTTTAAATCGTACACATTTTCTCATCCATGTAAAAAAAATGTCTGCTGTCAGCAGGTTAGAGGACTACAAAGTCATGTTTATTATATTTGCATTCAATTCTTGTCGTTCACTATACATTTACAAGCCTAGTAAAGGTTGAAAAAACTGTTTAAGTGAAGATCTTTCATAGTAACGGTTGGTAATGCTACTCTGTGCAAAACGACTGACTTAAATATTTTGAATTAAAGTAAGTAACATTGAAGGTTTTATATATTTTTTTTAATATATATATATATATCTTTTTTAATATTGTATTTTATGCATTAAATACTTTTATTGTTGATATTTACATGAAAATGTATGTATGTAAAAAAAACTGTGATATAAAACCTACACTATACCTTTATTTTCAAATATTAAAAGTGAAGTTTTTATATTTCAAAATATATATATAAAATAATTGTTAATGTAATGTAGGTAATGTAATTTATATTTTGTGTATTTATTTACACAATTCCTCTCTCTCTCTGCATATAAAATAAATTATATGCAATATTTCATATACTTCTAATATATATGTGTGTATGTATAATGAAGAGACTCTCGATACTCACACTGGACGTCCAGCATCACTGATGCGTTCTGAGTGCCGTGTTCGTTCTGAGCTGTACAGACGTATCGTCCGCTGTGTGTCGGGTCGGTGTTGCTGATGGTCAGGTTCTGTCCGCTCTGCACTGGTTTCAGTGGTTCTTCAGTGTCTCTGTACCAGGTGTAGTTGAGCACCGGTGGGTTTGCGTCACTGCTGCAGCTCAGAGTCACTGAACGGCCCTCCACAACAAACCCAGATCCAGTCACATGAGCAGATGTGTTTTTAGGAGCGTCTAATGGATGAGAAAAACATTCAGGCAATTATGTTATGATTTATAGCACTAACTCTAGACGATCAGACAGTATTGAATGAAAGAATCCCTGTCTTACACTGAACACGTAGGGTACGGGACTCGTTTTTTGTGATCTGTTGGTGTGTTACAGTGCAAGTGAAATTGGCTGAATGATGACGGGGAGTTACAGTGAAGATCAGATCAGAGATCAGCTCAGTTTGCTCCTGACGCTGCTGTTGAGTGACGCTCTCGTCGAGGAGGTGTTCAGGAGACGAGCTCCATGTGAGATTTGCTGGACGAGAGGAACAGAAGATCTTAGTCGAGCAGCGCAGATTCACAGAGCTTCCCTCCTCCACCTCTGTCACGTTCTGCTGATCCTTTAACAGACTCACTTTGGGTTTGGGTGGAGAACCTACGACACATTAACAGTCAAATATTACAGGGTGTAATAATAATAATGTAGTTGATTTATTTTTCAATGCAACTCATTTTGTACTGGGGAATTGAGCTGTTTTCTTTGAATGTAGGAGACGTCTGATTCATTCGCCGTGCAGCCGTCTTTAGAAGTAAGTGTCTGAACTTCTGTTTTTGCAGAATCTCTTATTCTGTTGAAGAGTAGCTGGTGAAGTGGATTTACTTATTGTGGAGTTAATGAAAGTTATCATGAGCATTTTAATGTTTGTAATGTTATAAAATAATAAGATAAAATAATCCCAGTGTGCCAGGAAGATTTTAAAACGAGCCAGAACACATACACATCGAGCACAGAGCTGAAAAGGGCCGGGGCTACAAAGTTATATTACTAAAAACCTAGAATAAAGTGCAGTAAACGGTAAAACTATTTGCACATCAGTGTGTTTATGATTATGATAACTAAAAGAATATGATAATTGTCAGTTTGCAATATAAAGCATCATAACGGACTGTTTTGTTCAGGTCTGGAAGTGAATGACACCAGAAGCTTCACACTTTCACCTTAGACATGGCCGCATCACATTTATATTAAGATAGAAGCAGCATGAACAATATGACACTCACCAATGACAGCAATTTCAACTTGGGTGAATGTAGGTTTCCTGTAGCTATATTTCAATTGATCGCTTTCAACTCTGAAGAAATATGACCCATGATCACTCTGACGGACATTGTGGAAGCGGGTGGTGCAGTTTTTGTCTGTAGGAGTGCCAAATATTTCTCCTTTTAACGATCCAGCGTTGGGTTGATCTGAGTTAAACACTTCAGTGACAGGCGATCCGTCTTTATACCATATTCTCTTTGCATTATCAGTGAGGTATTTTTCATATTCTTGATCAACATCAAATGTGCAGGGTATGAAAACACAGGATCCTTTTAGAGCTTCTACTCTCTCCGGCGGACTGATATCAACACCACAAAGAGCTCCTAAAACACACAGACAAGAGGAACTGATCACACAAAGTTTACATGCAGAATAAACTGCTGCACCTATTCATATGAAAATGCTTTCAGAATATTAATTCAGCAGAGGAGTAATCTATAAGAATGAAACCTTGCATCAGACATCCAGTGAGGAGGAACGTCACAAATATTTCCATTATTCACTTCACCTTACAACAGAAAATACAAACACAAAGTATGCACTCTTAATACAAATATAAAGTATGCAATCTTAATAGAAATACAAAAATATACACATTAAATAGAAATACAAATTAAACTCTTAATACAAATAAAAAGTATAAGTCTTAAAATAAAGGCTATTGGCATTGATGGTTTCTTAAAGATCCTTTAATATCCATGTAATCTTTCCATTCCATAAAAGGTTATTTAAAAAAGTGAAAAAACAATGTTCTTTAGATTATAAAAAGGCTCTTCATATTAAGAAAAATGGTTCGTTTAAGAAGTGTTTACTGAATGTTTCCATAAATTGTTCTTCTGTGGAAACGCATGTGAAAATCCCTTTGGAACCTTTAATTTTAAGAGTGTATAAACTTAATAACAACTTAATAACAGTTATGTCCTTTTTAAACTTTGGTGTAAACATTATTTCTAATAATGAGTGAGAGAAATGTCATGAGAAAACAAATATGAAAGTCTTATTTTATTTATTTTTAAAAAAATAGTTTAATCTTAAACATGTTTTACAACCTGAGTGTCAAAAAACTGACAGTCTCAAACCAACGAAGTGTGTTGTGTGTAAATGACTTACCAGAGAAGAGTGAAAGAGCGACTGTGTGTGACTCTTCTACACTGGATAGAGGGAGATCTGTGTGTGAAAACAACACTTTTATACTTCTATTACAGTTTTTACCACTTCCCCTTTCAGTCCGAACTAAAGTAGCCTGTTATGACAAAAAATCTTTAAAACAGACATTACTGCGTGCACTGTAAAAATCAATATGCTTTATCTAATCAATAAAATTGTGGCAACAGATTACAAGCAATATTATTTATTAAATTGAACAAATTAGAATTGAGTAATAGTTAATCAAATTAACATTCTAATTAATTCTAATTTCTACAATTTAATTAATAATATTGCTTCTAATATGTTGCCACAATTTTATTGATTAGATAAAGCATATTATTTTTTTCAGCGTAAGAGACACTCAGAGTCAAATTAATAAAAGGAAAAGAGGTTTATTGTTCTTGCAAGAATAAGGCTCAATCACTAACACATATTGGGATACTGTGAAGTGAAATGACACCCAGAACACAAGCCGGAGTCTGTCTATAATATATCTCTCCCAAGGTTATTTACTGCAGGCCAAGCCTCTCTGTAAAATTCCACAAGCAATAGGATTAACATTTACCGCTAACCCCCTCTATCCTCCCCAGTCTAAGATGACCTCTGACCCGACCGGTTCTCTGGTGCCTCACGCCACTCTTGATAAAGGAAAGACAAATTACCTCCTTCACGGATAGCAAAACCATAAGACATTCCTCTGTTATTACATATAGTAGGTAAACAGATTAAAACACAAGACCCAATAATCAAACCTTTCAAACCATCAGACCATTCAATAGTATGACTGTGTTTCTAACAATGGAAAGCTTAAGCTTTAAGCTTATTTTTTATTCTAAACTGTTTTAATTATTCTGATTTCTTTTTTGGATTATTTTAATTTCTTCTATGTAAAGCACTTTGAATTGCCATTGTGTATGAAATGTGCTATATAAATAAACTTGCCTTGCCTTGCCTTGCCTAATGCAAATGGGTGGAGTCCCCCTTTAAATATGAAGTCAAAGACCTCGGGTTACAGACACTTCTCAGAAGATAACAACTTGACCTCACACATTCAAGATTCACACAATTGACACTGAAACGCTCTCGCGCCACGTCCCTTTTAACATGCAGTGAAAAATTGCAGGTTTTTCTGTCATTTTTTGAACCACTTTTTTTGATGTCTGTGGGACCAAATGTTGACATTTGTGGATGTATTTTCACAACTTCTATAACTGAAGTCCCATGTTTCAAAAGGGTGGAGGTCATGTTTTCTATAACTTGTATTTACATTTATGCATTTGGCTGACGCTGTTATCCAAAGTGACTTATATTGCATTACATATTAGTTCATGGTTTACCTGGGAATCAAACCCATGTTATCTCATGATAATTTGCAAAAATATTGCATATTAATCATGTAAATTTCCTGCACCTGTCATAAATGTCCAAATGAGGTCCAAAACAATTACCCAGTTCAAAGGTCAAATGTTGAATGTCAGACATCCAAGTTGGGTCATGGTTGGACGTCCAAATAGTGGACCCGTTTGGACGTCGAATAGATGTCCAGATTTTGTCGTTGACCGACGGACCCAATACAGACATGATCTGCACGTCTATCCGATGTCCAATGTTTAGTGGGTGTGTTGAAAGATACACACAGGACAAGTGCTTTGGAGAATGGATGGGTAGATGATGGGCACATGAGACCATAAGTGTGTTAATCTGCTTCTTCTTGAGGACAATAAGTGTAAGTATTATTATTATGAAAACAGCAGGATCAGAAGTGTATGATGAAGATCTTCAGGTTTACTAACTAGAGAACTTCCAGACTGGTGTGTTGGACTGTTTTTTTTGTTTTTGTTGCATAAAATCTGATGATTTATCATGATTAACAAAATGTTATTTACAAGTTATGTAAGTGTTGTCAGTTTGAGTTTGATAATAAAGTTGTTAATGAGCATTTTTGTGATTGTTTAGACATTTGATACAACTTGTTTTAATAAATAGTTCGGAATATTTCTTCCCACATATAACAAAACATTTTGTACACGTAACTCAAATGATGCAGATTCAATCCTGAGCAGACATTTTTTAAAACATCCTAACATTACTTCTACACAGATAAAACAATAAAGATGATCATATCAACGATAAACAAAAGAAAATGACCGGAACACTTTAGAGTAAAAGCTGACAGAGCCAAGATCACAAAAGCTAAAAAAAAAAAAAAAACTCACCAATGGATGGCGAAACACTTTTTTATTCATTTATTTTTGATTTACTTTAATGTTTATTATTAGACTCGATTTGCAACGGTGTAAATCACACAAATCACCACAGGAGGGAGCAACACTTTTATGTATATTCATTTCGCAGAATGACAGAAACCGAAGCGCAGTTTTCATCCGTTCCACTAGGCGGCGTGAGCGGGCATCACTGTCAGAGCGACTCCTTCGGGTCCTTGGCAACATTGACGCTTGTTGATGACAGACGCTACATGTGCAGATGACAGCCACACAACTGGACATATTTCAGCAAATAAAACGACATACAGTCCGATAACATGCGGGAATTGAGTGTCATTTAACTTCTCGGTAAGTAACTTTGCACATAAAGTGAATTTCTTTTGTAAAATGATATCGCGACCCTTAATGTTTTGTATAATTGTATGTTTCACTGATGCATCGTTCTGCTGAAATGTCATCATAGCAGGGCTCGTCAGTGTAATGTTCATGGTGTCTGTAAACTAAATGTTGTTTAAGTTTGTTATGAAAGCATTCGCGTCTTCTATAAAAAGAGAAAAACTCTTATTTTTTTTCTGAACACACACTACCTTCAGAAGGGAAAATTAATCGGGTGTTGCTTTACATTTATAATCAGAATAATAAGGAATGCTGTTTTTTGTGTGTGTTGTTGTTATTGTAGTCTTACTGTAGGTAATATACTGGATTGATGTTTGTTAATAGAGTCAGTTGCTCTGATGTTTCTGCTGCTTCATGCTTGTGTAGAGCTCAAGTGATTTTACTTCTAATGAAAACCATCATACATACAGTCCAGAACAGAACAGAACAGGGTTAAAACCGTGTGCAGGAAACAGCCTTTTAGGATTACTGTACATTTAAAACTTCAGCTAGTCCCAATTATGGTTCAATCACGTAAGCTACACCAGTTATTTTGTCAAGAGATTTCTTGTTTATTTTTGTGTTACATTGATGTGTCATTGCACACAATACTTCTATGCAAGCTAAACTATAGCTCATCCCTAATCTCTCCTCAGCAAACATACACAAACACACTCTGATTTCTCAAAATATAATTTAAATAATTTTATACTTTTAATGTATTCAGTTTCCTTCTATTGACTAGTCTTTAGACTAACTTTCACATTCTCATTTATAGATGTAGAATATAGAGAGTATTTCTAAAACTATCTTTTTAATCTTTAAAAAAAAATAATAATAATCTTTTTTTTTCATGTCTTTCCTTACAGAAGGAATGTGTTTGGACCATTACATCCAGTCATCAGAAGCAGAGCTGTGGGACGTGTGGACAGACATTGACTGTAATGATGGACGTCTGCTGATGGACAGGTAATGTAAATGCTTGTTTTACTGTACTAAACATGTAGGTTCCCATCATTTTCTTTTTGAAGGGCCTCCCCCTTTGAAAAGCAAATGATGGGAACCTAAGCGGGTGGGGAAGGGACGAGGAGGTGAAATTTTTATATAAAAAAAAATATTTTTTTTCCTTGTTTCCAAAAAGCATAACCCCTGCTGCTGACTGTCCCGGAAGCTCCGGGGGGAGACCGTACTGGTATCCCCCTCCTTTGGGCGCGCCACTCACACAACATCCACTCCTATCGCGGAGATCTGGCTGGGATCAAACCAGCAACCTCTGAACCCGTGAGGCAGCGCTCTTACCTGTGAGCCACAGATCTCTTGCTGATGATGTGCTGGAACTTATATTTCACTGTTATCCTGAGAGTTTCCAATAAAGCAGTTAAAGTGAGATTCGAACCCACGTCTTCATCAGTCTTGTCCTCAGAGAGTGTGTGTTTATCCGCTCGCCCATCATGGATTTCACATTTATGGCTGTTTTTTTGGGCTCCTTGTCTAATGAGAACTATTGAAAGTCAGCAATAGTGGGACTTGAACTCAGGACGCTGTGATCGAAACACAACTCTTTCTCTCCTGAGCCACTGAGTCTGCTGAGATGAAGAGCGTTTTCAACCGGTTTGATCCAGAGTTGTGTGTTAAATGATGAATAACTTTAACAAACATGGATCTGAAACCTGGGATTTGAACCAGGACTGTCTGGTTGGTGAGGTTGACAACTATCCACTGAGCCGCAGAGACTGTGAATCAATGATGTTGTTTTAGATTTCAAGTTTAAAGTTCTTAGCGGATGTAAAAGATTATTGTCATTGATTAATAATTCATTGACTACTCAGATCTATTCTTTATAAAATGATTTTATTTTTAAGTTATTCTTTGTATCAACTGTATCAGTGTGCGTGTTGTGTCCTATCGTCTGTCTATATAAATATACATGCAAAAAAGTCAGATCTAAAATTATTTTCGCCCTGCTGTGGTGATTTGTGTGAATTACACTATTGCAAATCAAGTCTAATAAACATAAGTGGTGTGCCCTCCTGTGGTGATTTGTGTGAATTACACCGCTGCAAATCGAGTCTAAAAAACATAAGTGGTGTGCCCTCCTGTGGTGATTTGTGTGAATTACATATAGAGAGTAAAAGAAAAGTGGTGATTGTGTGAATCACACCGTTGCAAACCGAGTCCGATCGAATCTAAAAAACATAAGTGTTTCGCCCTCCTGTGGTGATTTGTGTGAATTACACCGCTGCAAATTTCTTCTGTCTTCTCTGTTCTGTCCTTATGTTAAAATACATACATACATAACGTTACACACACACACACACACACACACACACACACACACACATATATATATATATATATATATATATATATATATACAAAAAACTAGACTTTCTCATTCAAAGGAAATCATTATTTTCTGCACCACAGAGCTTGTCAAACATGTTGCTGCTGTAATTTTACAGGAACTTTAATCCAAAGTCTCAGATGTGATCCCGACGAGAGTAAAGTGCAGTTTTCCTCCGCTCCTCAAGGCGGCAGAAGCGGGTTCTCCTTCAGTCTGACGCTTCTGCTGCTTGACAACATGACGCTTGATGACAATCACAACAACACGAGCAGATACTGCAGATAGGAAGATGACAGCTCTTAATGTCACTTTAACAGCACATATTACAGCTCAACCGCAAATAAAACCGACGCAATCAAACGACACATAAATGAGGGAACCGAGTGCGGCACAAGACTCACCTGTAAGTAACTTTTACTTTAGCATGAAGTCAAGTTCTCTTATCAGTCGCTATTGTAGCGTTACCTTTTTAATCTTTGAATGAATCGCCCTCTGATATTCACACTGTAAAGTGTAATAAGAAGGACTCAGTTGAAATTGCAGTGTTTTTTGGGTGTATGTGAGAGTCAGCAGGAGTTGTGTCTTGTTTGAAGCTCTGATGTTCTCCTGTTGCTTCCTGCTTTTATTCTACTTCCTGTTATGACTGGGATCTGAGAGTGAAAACTGCCTTAAAAATGGTATGCAATTAAAATGTCATACAAGCATGAAACAATACAAGTAAAGAGCAGTGACTAGACACTTTGCAATTGGTTTTCTTTGCATAGCATTTCTAATATTGTTCTGATGTTTTGTAGGTTTGGCTTTCTGTGAATGGGGAGTTAGTTTTTAGTTCTGTGTGTTCAGTGTTTTTATAATTATGTGGCCTGTAAGACAGTGATTAAGTTGAATCTCTAGTTGTTGTTACATGTATAAGCTTCAAATGAATCGTCCTCTGATTTATGTGTAGTGAAGTAGAATAATAAGCAATTGTTTCTAGTCTCTTTTGTTATCAGTTGTCTTACTGTATGTAATAATCTAGTGGATTGATGCTTGTTAATAGAATCAGTTGGTGTGTGTGTGTGTGTGTGTGTGAAGTGTGTGTCTGCTGCTTGATTGTATCATAGAGATGCAGTGCTTTTCTTCTAATGAAAACTGTCAATCTAATCAAAACTAATCAATCCTTGTGCAGGAACATGTCTTTTAGGGTTACTTACTGTTGTGTGAAGGAAGGTTTCATCTTAAAGTTAGAGCTCCACTTGGGCAGTTCTTTACAGTGTACATGTCTAAGCATCAGCTCTCACACTGAAAATATGTTGCAAAGTATATGAAAATGATGCTACGATTTGAATTAGTTTTACAGGCAACAAATGGACACAAACTCTGAATAGGGAAAAAGCCTTATTTCCACCCGAAAGAAGGCCTTTTCCTTATTCAGTGTTCGTGTCAAATCATAGAATCATTTTCATGTACTTTGCAATATATTTTCACACAGATTTAAGACTTGTTTTTTAGTAGTCAGTCTACTTTTATTTAGATGAACTTAATTTGAATGTTATTCAGTATGTAGTAATGTCTGTGTCTGTATTTCCTCTACAGGACACGGGATGTGTTTGGAGCGTCCAGTCATCAGAAGCAGAGCTGTGGGACGTGTGGGCAGACATTGACTGTAATGATGGACTTCTGCTGATGGACAGGTATGTACATGCTTATGTTTTACTGTACTAAACATGTAGGTTCCCATCATTTTCTTTTTGGAGGGTGACCCCTTTAAAAAGCAAATGATGGGAACCTAAGTAGGTGGGGAAGGGACGGCAGGGCAAATTTTTTAGACAGCTAAATTTTCATTGTATAAAAAAGCATAACCCCTCCTGTCCATTGTGGTGGGGCTCAGGGGGGGACCCGAATCATCCCCGCCCCTTCACACATACAGCATTCACTCGTATCGCGGAGATCTGGCTGGGATCGAACCAGCAACCTCTGGACCCGTGAGGCAGCACTCTTACCTGTGAGCCACAGATCTCTTGCTGATACTTGTGCTGGAACTTATATTTCACTCTTCGAGCCCTGCGATTTTACAATAAATCATGCTGAGGTGGGGATCGAACCCACGTCTCCAGTGCAACCCATCAGCTGAGAACGTGTGTTTAACCACTGCACCACTGTGGCTTTCACACTGACATGTGGTGTTTTGGCCGTCTTGTTTGATATAATCACATCAATTTAATGTTCAACTCTTATTTACTAAAGGAAAGCCTTTGTGCTTACATATTCACACACTCATATTGCAGAGACCCAGCTGGGATCAAACCAGCAACCTCTGAACCCGTGAGGCAGCGCTCTTACCTGTGAGCCACAGATCTCGTGCTGATGATGTGCTGGAACTTATATTTCAGTGTTATCCTGAGAGTTTCCAATAAAGCAGTTAAAGTGAGCTTCGAACCTGTGTCTTCATCAGTCGTGACCTCAGAGAGTGTGTGTTTATCCACTCGCCCATCATGGATTTCACATTGACAGCTGGTTTTTGGGGCTCCTTGTCTAATGAGAACTATTGAAAGTCAGCAATAGTGGGACTTGAACTCAGGACGCTGTGATGGAAACTCAACTCTTTCTCTCCTGAGCCACTGAGACTGCTGAGATGAGGAGCGTTTTCAACAGGTTTGATCCAGAGTTTTGTGTTAAATGATGAATAACTTTAACAAACATGGATCTGAAACCTGGATTTGAACCAGGACTTTCTGGTTGGTAAGGTTGACAACTATCCACTGAGCCACAGAGACTGTAAGTCAATGATGTTGTTTCAGATTTCAAGTTTAAAGTTCTTAGCATATGTAAAAGATTATCATCATTGATTAATAATTCATTGACTACTCAGATCTATTCTTATAAAAAAATGTTTTTATTTTTAAGCTATTCTTTGTATCAACTGTATCAGTGTGTGTGTTGTGAATTGTGTTGTCCTATCGTCTGTCTAAATAAATGCAAAAAAAGTCAGATCTAAAATTATTTTCGCCCTCCTGTGGTGATTTGTGTGAATTACACCGTTGCAAATAAAGTCTAAAAAACATAAAAGTGTCGCCCTCCTGTGGTGATTTGTATGAAGCACACCGTTGCAAATAAAGTCTAAAACTGCGCCCTCCTGTGGTGATTTGTGTGAATTACATATAGAGAGCAAAAGAAAAGTGATGATTTGTGTGAATCACACCGTTGCAAACCGAGCCCGATGGAGTCAAATAAACATAAGTGTTTCGCCCTCCTGTGGTGATTTGAGTGAATTACACCACTGCAAATTTCCTCTCTGTTCTGTCCTTCTGTTAATACATAAATAACGTTACACACACACACACACACACACACACACACACACAAACAAAAAATTAGGCTTTCTCATTCAAAGGCAAATCATTATTTTCTGCACCACAGAGCTTGTCAAACATGTTGCTGCTGCAATTTTACAGGAACTTTAATCCAAAGTCTCAGATGTGATCTCGCCACTATAACCCGACGAGAGTAAAGTGCAGTTTTCCTCCGCTCCTCAAGGCGGCAGAAGCGGGTTCTCCTTCAGTCTGACGCTTCTGCTGCTTGACAACATGACGCTTGATGACAATCACAACAACACGAGCAGATCCTGCAGATGGGAAGATGACAGCTCTTAATGTCACTTTAACAGCACATATTACAGCTCAACTGCAAATAAAACCGACGCAATCAAACGACACATAAATGAGGAACCGAGTACGGCACAAGACTCACCTGTAAGTAACTTTTACTTTAGCATGAAGTCAAGTTCTCTTGTCAGTCGCTATTGTAGCGTTACCTTTTTAATCTTTGAATGAATCGCCCTCTGATATTCACACTGTAAAGTGTAATAAGAAGGACTCAGTTGATATTGCAGTGTTTTTTGGGTGTATGTGAGAGTCAGCAGGAGTTGTGTCTTGTGTGAAGCTCTGATGTTCTCCTGTTGCTTCCTGCTTTTATTCTACTTCCTGTTATGACTGGGATCTGAGAGTGAAAACTGCCTTTAAAATGGTATGCAATTAAAATGTCATAATATTACTACAAGCATGAAATAGTAAAAGTAAAGAGCAGTGACTAGACACTTTGCAATTGGTTTTCTTTGCATAGCATTTCTAATATTGTTCTGATGTTTTGTAGGTTTGGCTTTCTGTGAATGGGGAGTTAGTTTTTAGTTCTGTGTGTTCAGTGTTTTTATAATTACGTGGCCTGTAAGACAGTGCTTAAGTTGAATCTCTAGTTGTTGTTACATGTATAAGCTTCAAATGAATCGTCCTCTGATTTATGTGTAGTGAAGTAGAATAATAAGCAATTGTTTCTAGTCTCTTTTGTTATCAGTTGTCTTACTGTATGTAATAATCTAGTGGATTGATGCTTGTTAATAGAATCAGTTGGTGTGTGTGTGTGTGTGTGTGTGTGTGTGAGAAGTGTGTGTCTGCTGCTTGATTGTATCATAGAGATGCAGTGCTTTTCTTCTAATGAAAACTGTCAGGATCAATCCTTGTGCAGGAACATGTCTTTTAGGGTTACTTACTGTTGTGTGAAGGAAGGTTTCATCTTAAAGTTAGAGCTCCACTTGGGCAGTTCTTTACAGTGTACATGTCTAAGCATCAGCTCTCACACTGAAAATATGTTGCAAAGTATATGAAAATGATGCTACTACGATTTGAATTAGTTTTACAGCCTACAAATGGACACAAACTCTGAATAGGGAAAAAGCCTTATTTCCACCCGAAAGAAGGCCTTTTCCTTATTCAGTGTTTGTGTCAAATCATAGCATCATTTTCATGTACTTTGCAACATATTCTCACAGATTTAAGACTTGTTTTTTAGTAGTCAGTCTACTTTTATTTAGATGAACTTAATTTGAATGTTATTCAGTATGTAGTAAATTAATGTCTGTGTCTGTATTTCCTCTACAGGACACAGGATGTGTTTGGAGCGTCCAGTCATCAGAAGCAGAGCTGTGGGACGTGTGGACAGACATTGACTGTAATGATGGACTTCTGCTGATGGATGGGTAAGACTTGTAATGTGTGAATGTTGTTTGGCACTAAACATGTAGGTTCCCATCATTTTCTTTTTGGAGGGTGACCCCTTTAAAAAGCAAATGATGGGAACCTAAGCGGGTGGGGAAGGGACGAGGACAGGAAATTTTTATATTAAAATTTTTTTTTTTTTTTCTCGTTTCCAAAAAGCATAACCCCTGCCGTTGACTGTCCCGGAAGCTCCGGGGGGAGACCGTACTGGTATCCCCCTCCTTTGGGCGCGCCACTCACACAACATCCACTCCTATCGCGGAGATCTGGCTGGGATCAAACCAGCAACCTCTGAACCCGTGAGGCAGCGCTCTTACCTGTGAGCCACAGATCTCTTGCTGATACATGTGCTGGAACTTATATTTCAGTGTTATCCTGAGAGTTTCCAATAAAGCAGTTAAAGTGAGCTTCGAACCTGTGTCTTCATCAGTCTTGTCCTCAGAGAGTGTGTGTTTATCCACTCGCCCATCATGGATTTCACATTGACGGCTGGTTTTTGGGGCTCCTTGTCTAATGAGAACTATTGAAAGTCAGCAATAGTGGGACTTGAACTCAGGACACTGTGATTGAAACTCAACTCTTTCTCTCCTGAGCCACTGAGACTGCTGAGATGAGGAGCGTTTTCAACAGGTTTGATCCAGAGTTTTGTGTAAAACGATGAATAACTTTAACAAACATGGATCTGAAACCTGGATTTGACCCAGGACTTTCTGGTTGGTAAGGTTGACAACTATCCGCTGAGCCACAGAGACTGTGATTCAATGATGTTGTTTCAGATTTCAAGTTTAAAGTTCTTAGCATATGTAAAAGATTATCATCATTGATTAATAATTCATTGACTACTCAGATCTATTCTTATAAAAAAATGATTTTATTTTTAAGCTATTCTTTGTATCAACTGTATCAGTGTGTGTGTTGTGAATTGTGTTGTCCTATCGTCTGTCTAAATAAATGCAAAAAAAGTCAGATCTAAAATTATTTTCGCCCTCCTGTGGTGATTTGTGTGAATTACACCGTTGCAAATAAAGTCTAAAAAACATAAAAGTGTCGCCCTCCTGTGGTGATTTGTATGAATCACACCGTTGCAAATAAAGTCTAAAAAACATAAAAGTGTCGCCCTCCTGTGGTGATTTGTATGAAGCACACCGTTGCAAATAAAGTCTAAAAACTGCGCCCTCCTGTGGTGATTTGTGTGAATTACACCGTTGCAAATAAAGTCTAAAAAACATAAAAGTGTCGCCCTCCTGTGGTGATTTGTATGAAGCACACCGTTGCAAATAAAGTCTAAAAACTGCGCCCTCCTGTGGTGATTTGTGTGAATTACATATAGAGAGCAAAAGAAAAGTGATGATTTGTGTGAATCACACCGTTGCAAACCGACTCCGATGGAGTTTAATAAACATAAGTGTTTCGCCCTCCTGTGGTGATTTGTGTGAATTACGCCACTGCAAATTTCCTCTCTGTTCTGTCCTTCTGTTAAAATACATACATAAATAACGTTACACACACAAACAAAAATTAGGCTTTCTCATTCAAAGGCAAATCATTATTTTCTACACCACAGAGCTTGTCAAATATGTTGCTGCTGCAATTTTACAGGAACTTTAATCCAAAGTCTCAGATGTGATCCGACGAGAGTAAAGTGCAGTTTTCCTCCGCTCCTCAAGGCGGCAGAAGCGGGTTCTCCTTCAGTCTGACGCTTCTGCTGCTTGACAACATGACGCTTGATGACAATCACAACAACACGAGCAGATCCTGCAGATGAGAAGATGACAGCTCTTAATGTCACTTTAACAGCACATATTACAGCTCAACCGCAAATAAAACCGACGCAATCAAACGACACATAAATGAGGAACCGAGTACGGCACAAGACTCACCTGTAAGTAACTTTTACTTTAGCATGAAGTCAAGTTCTCTTGTCAGTCGCTATTGTAGCGTTACCTTTTTAATCTTTGAATGAATCGCCCTCTGATATTCACACTGTAAAGTGTAATAAGAAGGACTCAGTTGAAATTGCAGTGTTTTTTGGGTGTATGTGAGAGTCAGCAGGAGTTGTGTCTTGTGTGAAGCTCTGATGTTCTCCTGTTGCTTCCTGCTTTTATTCTACTTCCTGTTATGACTGGGATCTGAGAGTGAAAACTGCCTTTAAAATGGTATGCAATTAAAATGTCATAATATTACTACAAGCATGAAATAGTAAAAGTAAAGAGCAGTGACTAGACACTTTGCAATTGGTTTTCTTTGCATAGCATTTCTAATATTGTTCTGATGTTTTGTAGGTTTGGCTTTCTGTGAATGGGGAGTTAGTTTTTAGTTCTGTGTGTTCAGTGTTTTTATAATTATGTGGCCTGTAAGACAGTGATTAAGTTGAATCTCTAGTTGTTGTTGTATAAGCTTCAAATGAATCGTCCGCTGATTTATGTGTAGTGAAGTAGAATAATAAGCAATTGTTTCTAGTCTCTTTTGTTATCAGTTGTCTTACTGTATGTAATAATCTAGTAGATTGATGCTTGTTAATAGAATCAGTTGGTGTGTGTGTGTGTGTGTGTGTGTGAAGTGTGTGTGTGTGAGAAGTGTGTGTCTGCTGCTTGATTGTATCATAGAGATGCAGTGCTTTTCTTCTAATGAAAACTGTCAGGATCAATCCTTGTGCAGGAACATGTCTTTTAGGGTTACTTACTGTTGTGTGAAGGAAGGTTTCATCTTAAAGTTAGAGCTCCACTTGGGCAGTTCTTTACAGTGTACATGTCTAAGCATCAGCTCTCACACTGAAAATATGTTGCAAAGTATATGAAAATGATGCTACGATTTGAATTACAGTTTTACAGGCAACAAATGGACACAAACTCTGAATAGGGAAAAAGCCTTATTTCCACCCGAAAGAAGGCCTTTTCCTTATTCAGTGTTTGTGTCAAATCATAGCATCATTTTCATGTACTTTGCAACATATTCTCACAGATTTAAGACTTGTTTTTTAGTAGTCAGTCTACTTTTATTTAGATGAACTTAAGTTGAATGTTATTCAGTATGTAGTAATGTCTGTGTCTGTATTTCCTCTACAGGACACGGGATGTGTTTGGAGCGTCCAGTCATCAGAAGCAGAGCTGTGGGACGTGTGGGCAGACATTGACTGTAATGATGGACTTCTGCTGATGGACAGGTATGTACATGCTTATGTTTTACTGTACTAAACATGTAGGTTCCCATCATTTTCTTTTTGGAGGGTGACCCCTTTAAAAAGCAAATGATGGGAACCTAAATAGGTGGGGAAGGGACGGCAGGGCAAAATTTTTAGACAGCTAAATTTTCATTGTATAAAAAAGCATAACCCCTCCTGTCCATTGTGGTGGGGCTCAGGGGGGGACCCGAATCATCCCCGCCCCTTCACACATACAGCATTCACTCATATCGCGGAGATCTGGCTGGGATCGAACCAGCAACCTCTGAACCCGTGAGGCAGCACTCTTACCTGTGAGCCACAGATCTCTTGCTGATACTTGTGCTGGAACTTATATTTCACTCTTCGAGCCCTGCGATTTTACAATAAGTCATGCTGAGGTGGGGATCAAACCCACATCTCCAGTGCAACCCATCAGCCAAGAACGTGTGTTTAACCACTGCACCACTGTGGCTTTCACACTGACATGTGGTGTTTTGGCCATTTTGTTTGATATAATCACATCAATTTAATGTTCAACTCTTATTTACTAAAGGAAAGCCTTTGTGCTTACATATTCACACACTCATATTGCAGAGACCCAGCTGGGATCAAACCAGCAACCTCTGAACCCGTGAGGCAGCGCTCTTACCTGTGAGCCACAGATCTCGTGCTGATGATGTGCTGGAACTTATATTTCACTGTTATCCTGAGAGTTTCCAATAAAGCAGTTAAAGTGAGCTTCGAACCTGTGTCTTCATCAGTCTTGTCCTCAGAGAGTGTGTGTTTATCCACTCGCCCATCATGGATTTCACATTGACAGCTGGTTTTTGGGGCTCCTTGTCTAATGAGAACTATTGAAAGTCAGCAATAGTGGGACTTGAACTCAGGACGCTGTGATGGAAACTCAACTCTTTCTCTCCTGAGCCACTGAGACTGCTGAGATGAGGAGCGTTTTCAACAGGTTTGATCCAGAGTTTTGTGTTAAATGATGAATAACTTTAACAAACATGGATCTGAAACCTGGATTTGAACCAGGACTTTCTGGTTGGTAAGGTTGACAACTATCCACTGAGCCACAGAGACTGTGAGTCAATGATGTTGTTTTAGATTTCAAGTTTAAAGTTCTTAGCGTATGTAAAAGATTATCATCATTGATTAATAATTCATTGACTACTCAGATCTATTCTTATAAAAAATGTTTTTTTTTTTAAGTTATCCTTGACCTTAGTATCAACTGTATCAGTGTGTGTGTTGTGAATTGTGTTGTCCTATCGTCTGTCTAAATAAATGCAAAAAAAGTCAGATCTAAAATTATTTTCGCCCTCCTGTGGTGATTTGTGTGAATTACACCGTTGCAAATAAAGTCTAAAAAACATAAAAGTGTCGCCCTCCTGTGGTGATTTGTATGAATCACACCGTTGCAAATAAAGTCTAAAAACTGCGCCCTCCTGTGGTGATTTTTGTGAATTACATATAGAGAGCAAAAGAAAAGTGATGATTTGTGTGAATCACACCGTTGCAAACCGAGTCCGATGGAGTCTAATAAACATAAGTGTTTCGCCCTCCTGTGGTGATTTGTGTGAATTACACAGCTGCAAATTTCCTCTCTGTTCTGTCCTTCTGTTAAAATACATACATACATAAAGTCACACACACACACACACACACACACACACACACACACACACACACACACACACACACACACACACACACACACACACACACACACACACACACACACATATATATATATATACAAAAAATTAGGCTTTCTCATTCAAAGGCAAATCATTATTTTCTGCACCACAGAGCTTGTCAAACATGTTGCTGCTGCAATTTTACAGGAACTTTGATCCAAAGTCTCAGATGTGATCTCGCCACTATAACCCGACGAGAGTAAAGTGCAGTTTTCCTCCTCTCCTCAAGGCGGCAGAAGCGGGTTCTCCTTCAGTCTGACGCTTCTGCTGCTTGACAACATGACGCTTGATGACAATCACAACAACACGAGCAGATTTTGCAGATGAGAAGATGACAGCTCTTAATGTCACTTTAACAGCACATATTACAGCTCAACTGCAAATAAAACCGACGCAATCAAACGACACATAAATGAGGGGAACCGAGTACGGCACAAGACTCACCTGTAAGTAACTTTTACTTTAGCATGAAGTCAAGTTCTCTCGTCAGTCGCTATTGTAGCGTTACCTTTTTAATCTTTGAATGAATCGCCCTCTGATATTCACACTGTAAAGTGTAATAAGAAGGACTCAGTTGATATTGCAGTGTTTTTTGGGTGTATGTGAGAGTCAGCAGGAGTTGTGTCTTGTGTGAAGCTCTGATGTTCTCCTGTTGCTTCCTGCTTTTATTCTACTTCCTGTTATGACTGGGATCTGAGAGTTTAAAATGGTATTTAATTCAAATGTCATAATATTACTACAAGCATCAAACAATAAAAGTAAAGAGCAGTGATTAGACACTTTGCAATTGGTTTTCTTTGCATAGCATTTCTAATATTGTTCTGATGTTTTGTAGGTTTGGCTTTCTGTGAATGGGGAGTTAGTTTTTAGTTCTGTGTGTTCAGTGTTTTTATAATTACGTGGCCTGTAAGACAGTGATTAAGTTGAATCTCTAGTTGTTGTTGTATAAGCTTCAAATGAATCGTCCTCTGATTTATGTGTAGTGAAGTAGAATAATAAGCAATTGTTTCTAGTCTCTTTTGTTATCAGTTGTCTTACTGTATGTAATAATCTAGTGGATTGATGCTTGTTAATAGAATCAGTTGGTGTGTGTGTGTGTGTGTGTGTGTGTGTGAAGTGTGTGTCTGCTGCTTGATTGTATCATAGAGATGCAGTGCTTTTCTTCTAATGAAAACTGTCAGGATCAATCCTTGTGCAGGAACATGTCTTTTAGGGTTACTTACTGTTGTGTGAAGGAAGGTTTCATCTTAAAGTTAGAGCTCCACTTGGGCAGTTCTTTACAGTGTACATGTCTAAGCATCAGCTCTCACACTGAAAATATGTTGCAAAGTATATGAAAATGATGCTACTACGATTTGAATTACAGTTTTGCAGGCAACAAATGGACACAAACTCTGAATAGGGAAAAAGCCTTATTTCCACCCGAAAGAAGGCCTTTTCCTTATTCAGTGTTCGTGTCAAATCATAGCATCATTTTCATGTACTTTGCAACATATTTTCACACAGATTTAAGACTTGTTTTTTAGTAGTCAGTCTACTTTTATTTAGATGAACTTAAGTTGAATGTTATTCAGTATGTAGTAATGTCTGTGTCTGTATTTCCTCTACAGGACACGGGATGTGTTTGGAGCGTCCAGTCATCAGAAGCAGAGCTGTGGGACGTGTGGGCAGACATTGACTGTAATGATGGACTTCTGCTGATGGACAGGTATGTACATGCTTATGTTTTACTGTACTAAACATGTAGGTTCCCATCATTTTCTTTTTGGAGGGTGACCCCTTTAAAAAGCAAATGATGGGAACCTAAATAGGTGGGGAAGGGACGGCGGGGCAAAATTTTTAGACAGCTAAATTTTCATTGTATCAAAAAGCATAACCCCTCCTGTCCATTGTGGCGGGGCTCGGGGGGGGACCCGAATCATCCCCGCCCCTTCACACATACAACATTCACTCATATCGCGGAGATCTGGCTGGGATCGAACCAGCAACCTCTGAACCCGTGAGGCAGCGCTGTTACCTGTGAGCCACAGATCTCTTGCTGATACTTGTGCTGGAACTTATATTTCACTCTTCGAGCCCTGCGATTTTACAATAAATCATGCTGAGGTGGGGATCGAACCCACGTCTCCAGTGCAACCCATCAGCCAAGAACGTGTGTTTAACCACTGCACCACTGTGGCTTTCACACTGACATGTGGTGTTTTGGCTACTTTGTTTGATATAATCACATCAATTTAACGCTCAATTCTCATTTACTAAAGGAAAGCCTTTGCGCGTACAAATACACACAGTCATATTGCAGAAACCCGGCTGGGATCAAACTAGCAACCTCTGAACCCGTGAGGCAGCGCTCTTACCTGTGAGCCACAGATCTTGTGCTGATACATGTGCTGGAACTTATATTTCACTCTTGGAGTCCTGTGATTTTACAATAAATCATGCTGAGGTGGGGATCGAACCCATGTCTCCAGTGCAACCCATAAACCGAGAACGTGTGTTTAACCACTGCACCACTGTGGCTTTCACACTGAGAACTGGTGTTTTGGCCAATTTGTTTGATATAACAACTATTGATAACAATTTAATTAAATTATAGGGACAAAAAGCTGAGATGGGATTTGAACCTTAACTTCAGCGCATCCTTACCTTCATAGAACATGTCTTTAGCCACTGCACCACTGTGGCTTTCACTTTGAGAACTGGTGTTTTGGCCACTTTGTAATCTATAGGCCCACTTTGTTAAATTATAATCACAAAAATTGAACACAAGCAAGAGTGAGGCTTGAACTCAAATCTCCCTGATTAAAGCCCAACACTTTATCAACTGAGCCAATGAGTCTGTTGAGTTGAAGGATGTTATGGATAGGTTTTTATTGAGAGTTTTGTTTTATTTGAAGGAAAAAGTCATATGATCAGATTTGAACCATGACTCTCATGTTTGAAGGCAAATGATGATCCTCTGCACCACAAGAGTTTTGATGAAACATGGCTTGTTTTTGGGTCTTGTGTGAAATGTTATTAAGAAAGGTAAACTTATTTTTGTCTAGACATTTCTCATATAGGTTTTAATTTTTTGCATATTAGAAAAACTGTATTCTACATCTATATTGCATATTATTGCTTCAACTAATCATTCTAGCATTATTTTGTGTTTATTTGAATGAAATAATTTCATTGTAAAAAAAAGTGGAGGAAAATCAACAAACCACAAAGCCAGAGATCATTCATGCAATTAAACACACAAAACTGAAATATTGAAACAAAACTGCAATCATAATTGTCATTGAGAACTTTATTAATTCTTCAAACTCAAACTGATAAACACATAACATGTAAGTAACCCTATTTGCTTATTTCTTTTAGAAAGTCCATCACACCTGCCTGGAAGTTTCAAGTAACCCTGAAGACCTTGATGATCTGCTTCAGGTGTTTTTCATCAGGTTGGAGCTAAACTCAGGAAAGTGTCTCACCAGGAGCAGGATCGGACACAATTTTACTCTCTTTGCATCTACTGCTGTTTTTAAATGGAAATGCAGAAACACTTATTATTGTCCACAAGGGGGAGCAGCTGACACACAAATCCATCTCACTCCCGTGTCTGTTATATTCATCAGGAAATTAAAAACACAAGTCTTAGTTGTTATAGCAGCAGTGATTAGTTTGTAGATTACATAAAATACTTGTCAAATGTAATGTTGATACAGGCTTTAATGAAGGATATTTATTTAATCAAATAACCAATAAATGTATGAAGAGTGATTAATCCCTCCATCCAGTCATGGCCAGCCACGGTTAAACCTGTGTTGAAAAAAAGGGGACATTTGTCTTTCTATTTCTATGTAAATCAGTTAGGCTGACTTTACAACCCTCTAACATATATTTTCCCCTGCTCACTGTCGCCCTCCTCCATCCATATACAAGCCACAGCTTCAGACAGAGACTCGGAGCAGTAGTGCATTGAGAAGCGCTGAGTACTTTTCTGAAATGCACTTTCTGTAAAGCTTCTTTGAAACAATATGTATGTTGGCCAGAGGAGGACTGGCCCCAACTGAGCCTGGGTTCTCCCAAGGTTTTTTCTCCATCCAATCACCTGATGGAGTTTTGGTTCCTTGCCACTGTTGCCTTGCTTTTGGTTTGCTTAGTTGGGGACATTTAATGTTCAACAACATTATTGATCTGTGTTGTATTACTTTCATGTTATCACTGTGAAGCTGCTTTGATACAATCTGTATTGTAAAAAGCACTATATAAATAAATGTGACTTTGAGAAATTGACTTGACTTGAGTCTCAGACTCTCCTCAAGGAGGAGCCGGTGAATCATCTGATCTCCTGCTGTGGTAACCAGTTACAAGATTCAACAGGATTGAGAACATTAGCATTATGATAATATATGTTATTTAACAGTCATTTTAATACACATTCAAACACTGCTTAGTGATTCGATAACTTCAATAATCATTAGAACCAGTGATTCAGAGCAAGTATCAAACTGCCAAAGTCATGTGAGTGATATCTGCAAATCCATGAACCAGCATCTAAATGTTTTTGTTTGTTTTTTTACCTGATCTCGGATCAGTTTTATAAATATGTAGATATTTAATGACACCAGCATACATGAACCATAACATTTTAGACACTATAAACTGATGGTGGTGACTCTCAATAGCACTATAAAGCAGCTAAGAAATGCTCTCTAACGTCATCACATGAAAGACAAGACATTTTCAAAGTAAATCATGAACTGATCAGTAAAGGTGCACAGTAAGGCCATCTGTAATTTATTTATACTCTAGTCGGATCTGGAATTTAAAAATTTCCAAATTAAATTTTTGCCTCCTTTAAGTCTTCTCTGTGTGCCTTTATTCACAGTCTTCACAAACAAGTGGATTGCTGAAGGGGTTTGTATTACAGTCCCCATGTTCAACACATAATGACGCTGTTTCCCGTGACCTAAGCTCTCTTTTTTACTTTATTACATCTTTTCAAATAACAAACAAGCATTATCATTATTATCATTGTTTAAAAAAACATCAACAATAAGACCAAGCAGCATATCGTAAAAAGAGCATTTAACGCTAATTTAAGATAACAAACTTGACATGAGTGAGAATTCAAAATATAATTCAATAAATACAATATATTTAGATTTTTTTTACATGTACACCCGCTTCAACGCATGAATAATTAGAGGAATGCGTTTAATTAATTTATAGTGAAAAAAAAAATATGTATGCGTCAACAGTAGATGCGTGTCGAATGTGCGAACGGTGAATCGTAATTAGGCTCAGACACGTTTCTGTGTGACACGTCATTAAGTAGCTCGAGCACGGAAGTGTTTCCACGGATTTTCCGTCAGAGAGACAGCGTTGATATAGTTTTTCATCTAAAATGGGTAAGTTAGATCTACGTGATTTAAAACATATTCTGTTGGATATTATAGACCGCTTATGCATCTATCTTAAAGTTTAATTTAACAGCACGCCTTTTTACGTGCTTACAAAGGGACGTTTGTTCATCACGTTGGTGATGCTAGTTTGTTTGTTAGCATTGCAGATAACTAAATTCATGATAGTGGAAAAACTCATTATAAAACAGTTTTGTTTTCAAAATTAATACGTGTTTTCTTCGACTGTGTTTGGTGTCAATCCTATGCGTTTAGTATTATGGTCGTGTTGATTTAACATGGTGTTGAACGTTGGACATTTTTTCTAAATCTCTAACTTATTTAAAAAAAAATGATTCACTTTTTATTATAGGGGGGTTCTTTTCCAGCCTGTTCTCTGGCCTGTTTGGCACCAGAGAAATGAGAATCCTCATTTTGGGTCTGGATGGAGCAGGAAAAACCACCATATTGTACAGACTTCAAGTGGGAGAAGTGGTCACAACAATTCCTAGTATGTGTTTATGACCGATTTATATACACAACTTTTGACTTGTCTTGATGTACTGGGGACTAATTTGCCTTTTTTCAACTCAGCAATTGGATTTAATGTGGAGACTGTTACATACAAGAACTTGAAGTTTCAAGTATGGGACCTCGGTGGACAGACGAGTATCAGGCAAGAAGTTATTTCTTTTGCGGTGTATTCTATGAAGATAAACCAAGCTGAAGATGTGATCACTGATGTTCTTCCTCCGCAGGCCATACTGGCGGTGCTACTACTCCAACACAGACGCAGTGATTTACGTGGTGGACAGCAGTGACCGCGACCGGATGGGAATCTCCAAATCTGAGCTGGTGGCCATGTTGGAGGTTGGTTAGATGTGCTTTACATTACATCACGTTCTATTGTTATCAGTGCATTTGAACATGATATTTCTTGTCTTTCAGGAGGAGGAGCTAAAGAAAGCCATACTGGTGGTGTTTGCAAACAAGCAGGACATGGAACAGGCCATGACCCCTACTGAAGTGGCCAACTCTCTCGGTTTACCTGCGCTCAAAGACCGGAAATGGCAGATCTTCAAGACATCTGCTACTAAAGGCACAGGCCTGGATGAGGCAATGGAATGGTAGGGTTAATTTCCTTTTTAAACATTTAAATACAAATATTTTGCATTGTGTTTACCAAATACCACCTTGTTCTTTCATATTTCAGGCTGGTGGAGTCACTGAAGAGCCGGCAGTAAATGCACTAAAAATCTTGTATATAGGAACTTCAGAGACTTCTTATTGGGTGTCCTTTGGACCAGTGACTGCTTCTTCCTATTGTGTGAAGACCATCCTCTCTCCTGCCTAGTGCAGAGACCGAAGTGAGGCGAGTGGCATTGAATGGACTATGAACGAACTCTTCAAATGTTTTCCCCCTTTTGCTTATCATTTATGGTGAACCGTATCCACTACATTCGAAATCTCAAAGGTGTTTGTTTTTTAAATTTAGCCTTTTTCCCCCTGATTTTGAATCGTTGCAGCTGGTATATGATTTCAGTTTTAATATTACATGGGTAGATATTTAATTAAGACTAACTTGTCATTTGTATGCTTTGAATTTGTAATGGCATATTTATATTTGCACGTGTACAGGGGAGCACACTCCTGTGTTGTGGCTGTGAAATAAATATGCAGTCAACACATTACATCAAGCATAACATCAACCAATGGCTGTGGTGTTTTTGCAAAATTTTTTACTTAAAAACGTTGGACAAATCAATATATATGTCGACTCACAGTCGACCCCTTACCACTGAAAACAGGGTTCAGGTAACATTCCCAGGGTCCCTCGCAGTCTCCCTCTCTGCTCTGCTGTATACATTTGAAGTATTAGTTTGCCAAAAAAAAAAAAAAAACATTAACCAGCAGCAAAATGGATCAACTGAGCATGGCCAAGTTCCTCAATGAGCTGCTCTTAGGTTTCTTTGCTTTATGTCCTGTACGCACAAACTCCATTTTCCTCTTTTTGGCCTCGTTTTTCTTTAACTGCTTCTTTACCTTCTTTCTTGCAGCAATGTCAGGATTTACAACAGCCTGTTGGGGGGGAGAATATGGTTTACGAAATTGAATATGATCACTATTTCACTTTTACTTCTGCTATAAAGAGCCTGCCTAACCTGGAAATTAACCCAACAAATGTTTAAGGCCCTTTCACATCAAGAGTTACAACCAAAATAATGTCCAACAGACAATAACGTTCTGTTTATTGTAAGTGCAAGCTCCAGTTTTGTTGTCTACCGCTTTAAATGTGCAAAAACTTTAAAGCTTTCATCAGCTGAAAAATATCATTCTGATAATGATTCCAGTGACATTGTTTTAGTTGTAATGTGGACTGCTATTGTTTTAAATTTAGAGTGATTTTTAAAACCAAATCATTATTTCTTGTCCTTGGTGTGAATGGGCCTTTTACGTGTCTGTAAATAGTAGAGGAGGAAATATTTAATTGAAGACGAACACAAACGTCCTGGGAACACTTGAGCAGTATTTAGGAAGTTCTCTGGTTCTTACCTGCACAGCCTTGACTTTCTTGCGTGAAGCTCGTCTCTGGGCGGCTTCTTTCTGCACCGCTGCAAAAGCCAGAGAGAATTGCTGCAGACCGACCATCTTCTTCAACAGCTCGATCAACTCCTGAGCCAGGTTCTTCAGCGTGGGGTCTGAAAGAAGACAAAGACCCGAACCATTCATGAAAGGGCAGTTTCAGCCATTTAGTCACTTGTAGAGGGAATGAAATTCTAATTTATATTCATATCTATTTTACTTTCAATTATATCAGCATGTTTGATGAGGTTTAAAAAGATTACATTAAAAAAATATATATAATTTTAGTTTCAAGTTGTTGTTTTTTAAGTTATTCACAATTATTATTTTATTGCAGCTAATTTTTCGTTTTCATTAACACTACAACAACGTAAGCATGACTTTAACTAACAAACAATAAGCAATTAGATTTTTCATGAACTAATATTACTAAGCACTTTAAAATACCCAACCCATTGTTAGTGAACACATTAAGTAATGTTAACAAGTGATCCTTATTATAAAATGCTATTATAATAAATACATTTTATTTGTAATGTGCCTTTCTAATACTTGTTGCACTACACAACAAATTACAAAAAAAACAAGCAGATATATATTAAATATTATATTCAATAATTATTGACAATAATGATTAAATATTAAAGAGCTTCACTAAAGAGATTTGTTTCTTAAATGTAGTTTGTTTCTGCTGATAGTGTGTGGACTGACCTTGGTCCGCATATGTGCTGTCCAGCTCTCTGTAGAGAGGAGCGATGATAGTGGTCAGATACGGTCCAAGCCGATCTTTTCCGAGATCCACAGCTATGGCTCCCAAGAACTTAAAAACACAAGTTCTCTAAAAAACAGAAAAGTGACAGAGAATCACTGAGCTGGACATCCTAAAACCAGCAATCCACCAGTTTCGTTTGGAGACATCGAGTCCAAACACAGGACAGATTTAACACCCACCTTCAAAGGCTCTTTAGGCGTGTCTGCTGCTTCTCTTTTGGCCAGTAATGAAAGCTTATTCATCACCCAGAGGAGAGACGGTGGCTTGTCCTTCTGCTCCTTTTCTTCTTCTCCTTCCCCATCATTCCCCTCCATTGTCTCTGTCGTTTCTTCCTCTTCTTCCCCTTCATTCTTCTCCGTTTTCACTGTAATTTCTTCCTCCGCATCTTCGACCTCCTCCTGTTCTTCAGGTGGATTCACGGTATCTGACTCTGGTGAGATGAGGTAGATCACCTTGGCCACATAAAGCAAGTTCTTCACCACCTGATCAAGGAACACACAAACAGATCAGATCACCATTACAGATGCTTTGAATGGTTTCAGAAGTTTTTGTACAAGCCAGACAATCCCAACACTGCAATTCAAGTGTTTTTAAAACAATATTAATTCAGCATGAAAATAATGTCTGAAGGGATTTTAATGTCTGTCTGGATTTTGGCCTGCGGTTGAATCTATCAATAAAAATCATATTAAAGAGTTACATTTACATTTTATATGGTTGCAATTTATAAATGTCTACATTTTATCACTTAAAAAATACTCAAGTGTTACAGTTTTCTTAATATATTGAATTGAAATTTGATTACAATTTTTATTCTATTTTATTTCAATTAAGAAAAAGATTTTTTTAATAGTTTTATTTTTTAACAATAATAACCCTGATGCTAATTATAACATCAAAAAAATTATATTTAAAATTAAATTATTATATAATATTTTTAAATAGAAATACAATTAAAACACAACAACAAACATATTTCATTATTTTCTACCTGCTCCCCAGCAGAAATATCCAAGAACTTGGACTGCAGTTGGTAACAGAAGGACAGAACCAGCTCTCTCATCTAATGGTTTAGAAATGAAAAAAAGAGGAATTCATTTATGAAAGTCTGTTTTTGGGAAACGAGGGGTTTAAGTGCATGTTTTTAGACTCTTGCCTTGTGATAAAGGTTGTCTGTGATAAAAACAGTGGCTACAGGGTGTATGGTTTTGTTCTCCTGAGAACTCCATAAGGTCAACAGATCCTCGGGTTTATGAGCCGCAAACAGCAAACCAAAGATCTGAGAGGCGGTCAGCCAAACCCAGGCATGAGGGTAACGCAGATGGGAATCAATATGACCTGGATATGTAGAGAGAGAGAGAGAGATCATGATGCATGCATGACAATATCTCTGCTTCATAAGTGCATGTTTATTTAACCCTTTCCCCGCCTTTGATGAGATTTCCTGTCATTTATGACAACACTTTCCCTCTACAGAGGGGTTTTTCCCGGCAATCCATGGTAGGGGGCGCTGTTACACTGTTCTGAAATTGTACAAGCATCTCCGTATCCAAACACGAGCAAAGAAAAAGATCTGCGTAAACCTGGGGCCTGTACCATGATGGTAGTTGAACTTGAATAAACTCAGGGTTACAGGATTAGTTTAGAAAGATGTAAAGAATTAAACAAATTTACACAGCAAGAAGAAAATAGCAGTCTATGAAAGAGGACAACTAAAAGAAAAAGTCTTCCTATTTCAGTGCAAGAAAAAGCTGTGAAGTTAGTTATACATTTGATAAAGGTAGGGAAATGTAACATGTAATTTTATAGCTTTATATATTGAATCTAAAGCGTATTTATATAACCTAGTTATTTATTTATTCAATTAAACTGAGCGTACTAATAATAATTGATAAACTAAAATTATATGTGTGATCGATTAAGGAATACAAATCATACAAAATTATTATTCTAAATAAACATTAATAAAAGCCAGATGATCTTGTCTTTAAAAATTATTTCCTGTGTACTGTGTAGTGATATTTATTTTGAGTGGAAACAGGACTTCATCGCATCAGACATGTCACTTTATTTTACTTTTGCAAGTTACTATGGTGATGAACACTGCTAAAAGCCAAACCACTTTCACGGTGCCTAAAACTCAGGGTTAGAGCAAACTAAACTGAAACATATCGGACTAGCCACCTAAACCGGCGTCATGGTATAGGCCCCAGGAGTGGATAGTTGCTGTTTACACACGTAAGCTAACATGATCTTCATCCATTTTAAATGTGTTCATACCCCAGATGCTGTTGAGCAGGTCTGCAGGTTTGAAGAGCTCCAAAAAGCTGCAGTCTTTGATGAGTTTGACGATGAGCGTGAGGTAAGCGAACAGCAGTCTATCTGCAGCCTTCTCCTCTTCCTCTTCCTCAATCTGATGGATCATATCATTGGCATTGTCAGACTCAAAATCTTGCAAAAAAACTCCATGGTATAAAACTCTGCACTCACGTCCTCGAAGTTGGAAGTGCGGATCTCTTTCTCGATGAGAGGAATCAGGACATCCATTCTCCGGCTGAACTTTGCTCCTTCAACTTCCACAAACAGCCCACAGACCTGAGCTCCCAGTCTCCGCAGAGCCGTCTGCAAAAGCACAAACTGTTAAAACCCAAACACGTTTCAGCGGAACTGGATTTTTTTTTCAACATTTTTTTTCCTACTCACCTTCTCGTCTGTAATCCAGCTGTCAACCAGGTCAAACATGGAGTTCTGACGCTGCAAATCCAACCGATTCAGCAGAGACTTGATGGCCAGAGCCGCCATTTTCTTACAGGATGCAGAATCATCGTTCAACATGGCCAATGACAAAGGCACAAAGAACAAACCGCAGTGCTCTTGCAAGAGATCCTGTGAACAAAGAACAGATTAATCCTCCAATATCATGAACTGGAGTGTGCATTAATGTTTATAATGGAATGTTCAGGGTTAAATGTTAAAATAAAAATTGTTTCTGGAAATACAATAAACATCAACTGAAATAAAGTATTAAAAAATGATTATATCATGTAGTTACAAAGTAAAATTTCCCTTTCATTTAGTTTAACTTGTACTAAAAAACGAACTAAAAAATGATTAATATAATTAATAAAATTATATAGACATGTTAAAAAAATGGCATAAACAACTATATTACTTAAAATATAAAACTAAAATGAAAAAGAAAAAGAAAAGTAAAAAATAAATAAGGGTTTGGTTGAGGGTAAGTTGCATGTAATTATGCATAACTTACTGCTATTTCTATGGTAAGTACACATGTAACATGGACACTGTAAAATAAAGTATTACCAAATAAAGCGCAACCCTTTCACCAAAAACTTAATTCTTGTTAAAAGGGTTTAGCATTGCATGAACATTTAGGGTGAATAGCATTGCGTGACCATTTCCCACCCTCTCTCTGACCTTTCAACTGGTTTTGATACAGTACCTGAGGAAATTTCAGGAAAATGTAAGCCATCAATTCAAGGGCAGACTGTCTCCCAGTGTCATATTCATAACTGAGAATAAGAAAGAAAAAAAGATTTTAATTTGCCTCACATGAAGGAAACAATTCACATCCATCTGGTATTAATCAGATGCTAAAAAACATACGTAAGCTGAGCAACTATGAAGTCAAAATGTTTCCTCAGTTTCTTCCCCAGTGGATAGTCCATCAGGTACTTCAGGTAGATCTGCAGTCACAGGACAGATATCAGTCTGATGATAGTTACGACAAGCAGGACCAGAGTATGATTTAGGTTGGATGATGATGATGACTGACCTGTCTGCAGCGCATGCGGACCTGTTCGTTTGACCCTTCAATGGCAAACTTGGCCAATTTTTTCATAACATCCTCCATCTCGGGCACCACCAGTTTCCGGGACAGAATCGCCTGCAAGACAAACAAACCGTTAAAAAACGTTTTGATTAAGACAGTTTGACTCACTAGCCCCTTTCACAAACTGCAATCCCGGTAAATTACCAGAACTGGTCATTTTACTAATCGCAGGTTTTCTATGACCATAGCAAACCCACCAGGAGTAGATGAGCAGGTGTAACTTACCCTCAGGAGGCCGAACGCGGTGGCTTGCCGACTGCTATCATAGATGTCCTCCTCAGCATATCCCAGAAGCACTTGCAGCTGTGTTTCTGTTATATGTTTTGTCACGCTCTTTACCAAAACAGTTATGGCCTATAAAACAGAGCATTTCACGTTTAAAATGAGGATGTAATAAATGTGAAAGTGGTGAGGGTCTCACGCACCTTAAAGCAGTTCTGAACCAGGGGGAAGTTCTCGCCACGGCCGGCTCCAGCTTTGGCGTAATCCTTCAGCAGGACAAAGAGCTGCTTGGTCAGCTGGTCGTAATTCTGTTCCACTGCCGGGAGAGGAAACTTCAAGATCCAGATGAAGGCCTGCAGAGCCTCGGTAATCACCTGATGTGCACAAGACACAGAATTTTCTGCTGTATTCATGCAACCAAAACTGATTGTGCACAATAAAACACACGAATCAAAAATATATTAAGTAGTACAGACCTTTACATGCATGGAGTTAAGACAGTCCAGGAGGAGAGATACAAACGGATCTAACATCTCCTTTACTGACGGGCCAGATGAGTTGATCTTTGAGCTCTTCAGACTACAGTGAAGCAACTGTGTAAGAGACATTTTGAAGTTTAAAGCAATATTGCAAAAAAATATACGTGAATATTTGTGAAATTCAGTGTTTCTTGAGCACCAAATCAGCATATTAGAACGATTTCTGAAGGATCATGTGACACTGAATATTCCTGTGATGTTACTCCAGTCTTCAGTTTTAAAGATATTAAAATTAACAACAGTTAGTTTAAATAGTAATAATTTTTCACACTATTACTGTTTTTACTGGGTATTTGATCAAATAAATACGGCCATTTTTCAAAAACCTTTAAAAAATCGTACAGGTCCCAAACTTCGGTAACTGATGTCCAATTATCCCAGAAGTCAAACAACAACCAAGGCATATGTTCTTACACTGAGTCCCGTTTCCACTAGGATGTGCATGTTTGTTCTGCTACTAATGGCGGCTTTCACCCCTACTCTCTTAGGAGTGGCCGGCAACAGTAAACAGCTTGGCGGAGGCAGGCGAGGGTCTGGAGGTGGACGATGCTTCTCTCTGGGTAAATATAGGATGTGTAATTGTTGAAATTAGATCTGTTTGAACCAGTGCTAATGAATCGTCATAATGAAGTGCGTGTGTGACGTACTTGTTCTTGCTGGTAATGAGCGGGAGACTCTGACTGATGAGTCCATGGCAGAGCAGTAGTATGGACTGAGGGCTCATGCTCTTATTGAGCAAAAGTCCCGCCACAATCCTCTTAAACACAGCATGCACTCGCCTTGACACCTTCAAACTGGCCGTGTTCTCAAGCACCTGAGAGGAAGATGAAGACCAGATAAGTCTCTTGAGAACTCGTGAAGCTGTCGTTGAGAAGCGGCTCACCGGTCATTTACCTCTTTGAGTGGCAGGATGAGGTGGATGACGCGCTCCTGGCTGCAGAACTGCCCGAGCAGCTCGTACGAGTCGGAGCTTTTGCTGTGGCGGGCCTCCATCACCTTTGAAACGATCCCTCTGATGTCCTTCTCCTCGGCTACGGCTCCAAACAGCTCGTTGTTGAAGATCTGAGAACAGAGTTAGCCAATTAAAATGTACAATTGTTTCAAAATGATGACTGACAATGTAATATTGATGGTGCCGTTTACCGTGACGAGCATGTCCATGCATGGGTCAAGATCCCCTGCGTTCAAAGATGATTTCAGGGCAGAGAGCAAATAGTACACTGTGAAGGTCAAAACATGGACCTGTAGGGAGAAATTATACATGGGTGAATGACATTAGGCTCGTTCTTTTTTGTCCAGGTCCATTCAATTATTTAAAAAAAATTACAAATCATATAGTCAATGACTTACAAATCTTCTATGATCTAAATTCATATTCACTTGATATGTTTTGAAGGTCAAAATTCTTTGCCATAATTACGGTAAATATGTAATAATAATGTTTGTGTGTGTGTGTGAGTGTGTGTGTGTGTGTGTGTGTGTGTGTGTGTGTCTCTCAGCTGCCAGCAGATTCGCTCATTGCCTCTTGTTTTGAATAAATAATACTTTTGTTTAACTTTAAAACTTATCAGTTTTTCAATGGGTGTGTGTTTCCTGACAACTGAAAATAGACAACTCAAAAAAAAATCTACAGAACAAATAGATAAGATAAGATAAGATGAGCAGCTTCTTCAACGAGACCACTGTTAGTTTCAAAATCAAAAAACTATTTTTTACTTTAAATCTTTCTTAATGTTTAAAAAACATTCTTTTTTATTTAAAACGTCAGGACGATGACAATCAGACTTTGCAGGACGATTATAGCCACACCTCTGTTGTGTAATCATTTTTTTAATTTCAGTTCTTCCCCTTTGAATATGATGTGCTGTGTTCCGCTTCTTGCCACACAGCGCTGGTATATTAAAAAGAGAGGCTGTTTTATACCGCCCTAACACTGGTCTCCTCTCCTAGCAGTTGTTTGTGGCAGGTTATAATCTTAAAGACATAAAGATGGCATTTAAGAATCAGAGGATTTTGAAAATAATCTCCATTTTTTCTGTAAGTACAACGGTGTTCGTCCTCTTGATGAACCATCCAGAACAAACGAAAAATTGTCCTCATAAAGAGGAGCCGGTCTTGAATCACTTATTAAAGCAGGATGTTGGAGAACTACAGGCTTGTTCTGCTATTATCCAAGGAGATATGGACGGAGTGAACAAGGACATTTTCAGGAATCTCCTGGCTTCGAAAAAAAGGAAATCGCTGCTGTCAGAGTCATTCTATCTCAACGCAACCAAGGATTGTCCATTCTACATCCGAGATAGAGGGTTTCTGACGCTTTCTCTCAGTAAAGAGGAGAAACATTTCCCCATTGCTTACTCCATGGTGATCCATGAGAAGATTGAGATGTTTGAAAGGCTCTTAAGAGCCATTTACACTCCTGACAATGTGTACTGTGTTCATGTGGACCAGAGGTCTCCTGAGATCTTTAAAGAAGCAGTTAGGGCCATTGTGTCCTGTCTGACCAATGTGTTTGTGGCCAGCAAACTGGAGAACGTGATCTACGCCTCCTGGTCTCGAGTTCAAGCGGACATCAACTGCATGCAGGATCTGCTCAAGTCACCCGTCCAGTGGAGGTATCTGCTCAACACCTGTGGCACTGATTTCCCCATTAAAACAAATGCTGAAATGGTTCAGATTTTAAAACAACTGCACGGAAAGAACAGTTTGGAGTCCGAGGTCGTAGAGTCCAAAAAGGTGCGTTGGGAGTATCATCACAATGTTAAGGACGTTGTGATTCGGACCGATGTTAGAAAGTCACCGCCGCCAGTTCAGAGCTCGATGTTCTCAGGAAATGCTTACTTTGTGGTTTCAAGAGAGTTTGTGGATTACATCCTTAAAAGTAAAGAGATTCAAGATTTCATGGAATGGGAGAAAGACACATACAGTCCAGATGAGCACATGTGGGCTACGTTACAGCGAATGCCTTCAGTACCAGGATCAAACCCTCCAAACAGAAAGTACGAGCAATCGGACATGAACGCAATTGCTCGTCTAGTGAAATGGAGTTACCATGAAGGGGATCTAAAGAGTGGGGCTCCCTACCCACCATGCACTGGGGCACACAGAAGGGCAGTGTGCGTCTATGGAGCTGGGGACGTGAAATGGATTTTGAGGCAACACCATCTTTTGGCAAACAAGTTTGATCCAGAAGTAGATGATGTAGCGATCAAATGTTTGGAGGCTTTTTTAAGGTACAAAGCTATTTATGGTCGATCATTACTAACAGTTAAAAAATCTGCCATTATTTTAAAAACATCATAAAAATGACTTTTAAAGTGTTTGTAAATATATAAATGTAAGGTATGGGTGGAGGGGTGAATCATCTGAATAACTAAACGCATTCTTCCTGAAACCTAAAAGTTTCCGAACGAATGTAAATTTCAGCATCAGCATGTCTGGATGAGACTGTTTCTGATAACAAAACCATCTTTCATAAGTCTTCATCAGCTAGCTTACTCATAAAAAACCTCCTAACTCCATTTTAACTTGATTTTGGTCAAATGTTAATAATACAATCACACATGTAATTGTCTGACCATATATAAAGTCACAATATCAACTTTAACCACACCGTTTAATAAAAAAAAAATGTTTAAAAAATGTTTTTGGCCAACATCATAAATTCAAATATGTCTGAAAACCTTTTAGAAAAGTAATTAAATGTGTACACTTAAGTGTATTCAAAGTGGTACACATAAATATGTCAAAATTGTATGACACCAACATTACTAAGATTTACAAGACCTAAGAATATGTATGATTTCAGTGACACACTTGTAATTTATGAAAGTCTTACATTACACACTCATGTGCTAATAAACTCAATATTTTACCTGATACCCCTTCACTAAGACCGCCTGCATCTCGTTGAGCAGATAATGAAGGTACTGATGCCCAAGTGTCTCTATAATCTTCACCAAAGTGTTTCGAGCAACATCACGGATCTCCTGGAAACGGCTCCTCAGGTGGACGCACACTTTCAGAAGGATGCTGCATATATAAAAGCCAAACTCCATCATTTAACACATTTTTTTTGCACTGATGATCACTCAGAATTACAAAAATATTACAAATACAAATAAGTATTTGTAGCAATATCACTAATCCATCACTCCCACACTTCCATTAAAAAGGCCATATTACCTTGATTTTGTTTTAGGGGTCTACTAGAATAGGTTTTAATGATTGAAGGTTTAAATAACATTGAAAAAACATTTTTCATTATTGCAACATCTCTTTGCAGTCTGTCAATCAAGCTCTGTTTAGTTCCTGTTTCTATAAAGCCCCTCCTTCCGAAAAAGCGCAAATGCAGAACTTTTTCAAGCTCAAACAGCAGTGCTACACACTAAAGAAATTTGAAAATGTACAAAAGCATACGAGTTCCTCTTTAAGACAATGGGTAATAAAAGAAGAAATATACCCTGGCAAGTTTGCTTCCATGACCTCCTTTGGCAGAGACTTCATGAGTTGAATCATGGCAAATGCAATAGGCACTCTGGCCACTTCTTCATCTTTCACCTCCTTAGACTTCACCATCTTGTGCTCGTCATCTCGCTTCACCTGCAGAAATATACATTGGTGAAGAATAAGTTCACGCTGAACACTTTTTTGGGGGGCTTTAGACATTAGAGAAAACACTAACGGAATCAACTGTTAGTTGTCAATTGTTAGACGATACATTAGTTGCCAATAGTGGTGTCTGGTTCAGGAAAATGTACAGCTTCACTTCTTTTTACTAATTTGTAAGAATATTGCGTAGTTGTGTTAATTTGTTTAATTTGTGATAACGCAATGAAACAAATTATGCAGACATAATGTTTGGCCAGGCTGTCATTCAAAGATGCAAAAACATGCAAAAACAAAAGAACCAATGAAACATTTATAACTGATTATGTAGTAGTGAATTTATGCTTTTTCCTGTTTTCCTTTTTTTGTTCATCCCTCATGTTTAAAAACTATAAAAATATTTTCCTCATATTTTTATGGTTTAATTGAACTTGTAGGGTCATTAAAAACAAATATACCATTCGGACATCACTTTTGGCCACTACTGTACATGCTTTGTAGAATTTAGTCCATTAAAGTCTTCAGTCCTGCTCAACTGCAAACTAAATTCATTAAGTATGATAAATGAGTTCACACCTTCGCAGTGAGGCACTTGTGAAGTTTAGGGAGGACGGTCTGTGTGACCGTGTGATGAATAGAGGAAATTAGTGCCTCTAGATCATGTTTATTTTGAGGCAGCCCACTGCTGACTACAGGAAGCACTTTCTTCGTTTGGCTCTCTTTGCCTTTATTTGGTTTGGCAGGGCCTTCCGTCTCAGCATCCAATGCTGTGGAAACGGCTACACCGGCCTCCTCGGTTTCCATTTCACCTTCATCATCACTTTCATCGGTGTCCATGGTTTCCACTGCCTCATCCTCAGCCTCTTCCACCACAACACTAGGCACTGTTGATAGATCATGCTAGTCAAGTAAAGCTGTGAAGCTTAAAAGAAAGTATAATGTGGCTGTTGTGACATTCTCACCTTCTGGCTTCCTGTTTTTGGCCAGCTCAATTTCTTTACTGAGAGTCTCATGGTCAAAGTGGAACGCATCAAGAACAATCAGCAGCAAACTAAGCCAATGAAAAGAGTCAAGAAAGTCTTTCAGTGTCATAAACAGAACAAGAACATCACAGAAAAGGCACCGCAAGTGTGCCTGACAGTGTGGAATACAAGATAAGATATTTGTCAAATCACGCTCAGGGATTGTGTAACACCGACTACTGAAGCAAGCTTACCTGACAGCTAGTTTCTGCTCAGCTATTCCAGACTGTAAAATATGGATGAAGTGTTTTACGTAGAACAAGTACTTGGACCAGGTCAAGCGTCTGCACACGGCACCGATAACTTCTATCGCGGCTGTTTTCATGGGTTCATACTGGGAACACAAATCATTTATCCATTAAAAACACATAAAACAACCAGCATAGTGACACAACAATTGAAAAAGTTAAAAATATCAACAAATGTAAGTAACAACCTTCAACAATTTTTCATCAACTAGAGCGATCATGGCATAGGGCATGATGTAATTCTGCATGGAGCGCGATGACATCACAATCTTGCCCTCGGTCAGCTGCCTGGCAAACTTCCTGAGCGCTCGACCCCTTCTGTAAACCTGCAAAACAAACAGACAGTTTTATACTCAGCCAATTATAAATAAGAATCAAAAAAGTGACAATGATTTATATATATATATATATATATATATATATATATATATGTATATTTAAATTACTATTTGCTAGTTAATTCATATTATTAAATCATTAATAACTTTATATAATAGTAATTACATTATTTATATTGTACATTAGTTTATATTTATTTTTAAATGTAATTGCTATTTATTCATACACACTTTTCTATAGAAAAGCATTGCTATGATGAGAATTGAAACTGTTTTGAGAAAACTGTTTAAAAAAAGCTAAGCTTGTTTCATTAAGGAAATGAATGCACTTGAAACTATTAAACTACATAAATGTTCAAAATGTGAGACCCCTTTTCTCCAGAAGATTTATGATGTTTCTAGTTTTGAGTCTCACTGATGAGTTTAAATAAATTGTCCTGACATTACCTGTATGTGCTTCATATGCTCAAAGAAATCTGACTCGGGATCATTATGATCTGTCAGTTGAGCCAGATCGCGAAACTCTGGACGGTTTGGAAAGGTCTTCACTAGGCAGGCCAGAATCGTAGTGTATTCATTTCGTACAGTCTGCAAAAAAAGAAAGCCATTTATACATATATAACTGCATGTCAAATGTTCATGTGAGCAGAATGTAAGCGGACATCTCGCTAGTTTTCACCTCAGTCTTGCTCTTTAAACCCTTTCGCAGGGCATCCAGTATCATGTACTGCACAATCTCCTTGTACTCGGCCTCCGGGCATCCGACTTCTGAGAGCTGCATTATTATGGCTGACAAACACATGGTGGCGCAATCTGCCAAAGACATGTCGCCGATCTGTCTCAGAAACACACAAAAAGCATTCAAAACTCGAAGCAGGTCAAAACACAAAAAGATATACATAAAAATAGACTTTAGAGATCTTTGAAGCAAATAGTAATGTCACAAGAATCTAAAATCTCTGACGGTCACCTGTAATGAATGGAAGCAGTTGTGCATGACAGCAGTCAGGTATCTCATATCCAGCGTACTCATCTCTTTAATGTGCTTGGTGGCCTTCTGGAACGCCACCAGACGCACGTCAAAGTGAACCTCGTCCAGATGCCGGCTGTCAAAGGCATTGAGCTGGAGAAGAGAGAGCCGGTTAAATACAAATATGACATGAAGAAACAAAACTAAAGCCCTTTCTGATTGCCTCAATGGACATTCACCTGAATGACAACATCTGTGATGTACTTCAGTTCACTGTCCATGTCTGATAGAGTCTGTGGGGAGAGAAACGGTCATTCAGGAAAGGTTTGAAGTAGACTAAAGTGATGTTAAAGTGGCTGGAGATGCGGAAAATGACCTGGAACGCTTCACACAGAGCCTGGCGTGAAAGTCTGTTTTGGATGATGGAGAAAAGTTTGCTGAGAGGTTTGAGGAACACGTTGGGCTCTAGACACTGTCTCAGCAGGTTCTGCACAGTACCCAGGATGTCCAACTCTGTTTCCTGAAAGAAAACAGAGAATGATTTGAGATCTAAAGCAATGAAATATTAGTATACATTATGTACTGACATGAAGAGTGTACCTGTGCAGTTTTGGGTTTGTGGAGGTAAGGTAGAAGCAAACCGATTAGTGTTGAACTCTGTCCCTTTTCAGTCACAAATCTACTGATCCTGGAACACAATGAATGTTTTTTTTTTTTTACATTTCACTTCATTGTACATGATAGCATTCCTTATTATTATCAATGCTGAAAATGTATGTGCTGCTTAATATTTTTATGTGGAAACCTGATCTTTGTTTCTTGATTCTTTGATGAATAGAACGTTCAAAAGAACAGAATTTACTTAAAACATAAATCTTTTACAGCATTATAAATGTCTTTACTGTCACTTCTGATCAATTTAATGCATATATTTCTTAAAAACAAAAACAAAATATTAATTATCCAAAAATAGGTTTTCAAAACGGTTTCCAACATTGATAATAAGAAATGTTTCCTGAGCAGCAAATTAGAATGATTTCTGAAATCATGTCATTTTTATTGTTCGCGAGCTAGAAAAAAAATTGTTCAGAAAACGATTCCACTGATATCATTCTCACTTTTAAAACGTGATTGTTAATAGTTACTGTCCTTGCTGTGAATGTGAATGTACATATAAACAGATTTTTGAACATACTTTGAGAGGATGTTGAGCTCTTTGCTGACTTGAGCTCTGAATTTCTTCTTTTTGAGGCGTTCAGAGTTACGAACAACTCCACTAAGGTATTGAAGTAGTGCAGGAATGTGAGGAAGGAGCAGACGGCAGCCGATAGTCAGAGAATCTACCCGAAAAAAAATAAAAAAGACATGTCAAATAAAAAAAGAATAGTGGGTCTTCTAGTATAATCAGCACCACCCACTCTGAGTACCTGATACATCACAACTTTCAGGGATCACACAGTCATTCACAATCAACTCGGTCTCATTCTCCTTGGGTTCAAAGTCTGGAGTGCCCAGCAAGCTCTCGGCTATGTCAATCACCATGGCCACTGTGAGGGAAGTCACGTTTTTGGAGGATAACAGACCAAATACATTGAGCAGGACGTCACACTCAGGGTGGCCTGGTCTCTGCTTAGCAAGCAAAGGGAAAAATCTGACAGAGTGAAAAGACAACATTTATATTATAAGATTGCGTTGCAATAGAAACTGTGCACATACATGCTTAAGAGTAAACATAAAAAGAAGGTTGGGTATTTTAACAAAGGTGGTTCTTGCATTCATACGTTAGTTCATTTTTCTATGAGGTCTATCTTTCGCATGGTTAATAATAAACTTACCGAGTGTTTTGGGTCCACACACGGATGACTTTCAAGAGGGGCGTTGGTGCATACGTGCTTTCAGTGGGCAGACGACAAACCTAATAAACAAAACACAGCCAGGTCATCTGGGTTACTTAGTGAATCTATAGCGATTCCAACCGCATTTAAATATATCAAGACTGCATCAGCACACGAATCAAACATGTCAATTAAAATGACCTCTTATTTTTAGACGGCTTAATCATTTAATTATGGTTGTTGTATGTATATAGTGCTGAAATTTATTTTCAAGGAAGTACCATGTCTATTAATAGGTATAACTACAGTAAAGTCTTTAGCTAGTTAGCTTAAGATCCTGTTCATTTAAACTCTTAATCCTAGTAGTGAATGTTTTATGAGCAGTAGGACAACCATATTCATCTGCACAGTTACGTAGAGCCGAAGCATATCCAAAACAATGTTGTTCATCCACAAAATGCTTGCCGTTTTGTTTAACCGCTAAAGGCCCAAAAGTTACATAGTTTACCATTACATTTACTAAAGCTATCCCATCAGATTTCTCCTTTATGCACACACCTGAGGCCACACCACAGCTTGGAAAACAGCGTCCAGCTCATCTGCTGTGAAGTTGTAACACTCAAAGCCATTAAAGAAGTCTTGTATGCGCAGAATCCCCAGACGACGCAAGTTCTTCAGAGGATTGATGCAACCAGGCTTGAGCTACACAAACATAAAGAACAGTGAGCTATTGAGATCAACACACAACACATAATAAAAACATTTTTTTGAGAAAACACTAATTTCCTACAAAAAAGAAACTCAAATTTTTTAGTTTGAAGAGTTATATTTCATAGTTTAGATTCAGTTTGTAAAAGTATTAATGAGGCTGGTTTTCTGTATTCAGCTCACCTGCTCTCTGTGATCCAGTATAAATGACACGGAGGCTGTGATGCACAGCAAGATCTGCAAAACTTTGGGCAGGTAGATTTGGATGAGATGGCCTAATTTGTTGATGAGCAAATCTATGGTGTTGAGCAGGCTGTGCTGGCGACCCACAGGGAGAACAGCAGACAGGTTTGTTTCACCAATGGCTCGATTTACCGCAGCCAAACACGATCCTGCAAGCAACAAATAATTCATATTCTAAAATCAATGCTTGCTTCTGATCCATCTTTACAAAAGAAAAAGAGTAAAAACAAAACCTTTTGGTAGCTTGTCAAAAAAAACAAATAGAGTCCATTTATTAAAGTTCAAGTATGTTGCATTACTTACATATATGGACATGAATGCACTATTTTTAGCTAGCTATTTAAGTTTTCATATTCTGAAATAAACCTAAATATTTTTTACAACCTTAAAGTGTAATGCAGAAATGTTAAACCAATTATGGTCCTCTATAAAATTCATAAATGGTACAAATAATAACCCAGTGTTTTTCAGACTTGGCGAGTTTGGTTCGATTAAAATGAACTCAGTGCAATTGTTCTGTTAGTACGGTTCAAATGAAATAAATTTGAGCGCAGCCATCTGGACCTTGGTGTGCACAAAACAAGCGGACCGAGACCCCTGAAAAGGTGGTTCGACTGAAATCTAAAGCAGATCTTTGTTTTTGTGTGTGACGGAGGAATTCAGATTTTAAAAATATAATTATATTTACACACATAAAACAAGCGCATTCAGTCCATCCTACAGCTTTGTATTGGATTTTCAATAATTTCCATCGCAAAACATAAATCAATTTCTTTTTTGGTCTGGACCAAAAGAACCAAATTACAATTATGAACACACCCTTAATCTAATGAACTGCCATTATGTGCTTATAATGTGTATATTTAAAGGTTTTGTTAGGATTTAATAATTTGAATAAGTTTTAAGTAGTTACCTTCAGCGTAATGACGAACAGGCTCCAGCAGAAGATCAATAAACATCCCCATCTCCTCTGGCTGACAGCCTGCCAGAAAGCGCAGCACTATGGAGGAGCGAGAAGCCGTGCCCGATTTACCCTGAAACTTACTACCAGCCTTAGAGCACATCTTCCCGTACAGTATCCTGCAAGAATTAATAAAAACTACTGAATACAGGCACATGTTCAGTGAAGAAACAACAGGGAAGCACTGATATCTTTCATATGCACTGTGTGTAAACACACCTCATAAGCATGGGAATGAGTTGGGGTCTGTGTGACGAAAGTACCACAGTTCCTTCTTCTGAGATGTTAAAATGGACAATCTCATCTTTAAAATGCTTGTCATCCAGAAGTCTCTGCAGATTCTCTCTGTAAACAAACACAAATCAACAATCATTATGGACCTAAAACAAAGCCCTGGGGAACATCACTGCTACAGCAATGTTAAAAAAAGCATTCACAGTGCTGCTTAAAGCCATCATATTAATACCCCATCTAACCCCAAAAAATAAATACAAACTTTCTGCACAAATAGAACATTTTTAAAGCATCCAACCGGCATGTTTGTGGTTGGAGAAAAGCTATCTCTGATAACAGGCTTAAAATTAGGTCAGTGGGGATTGCCTCTAAGAACTTTTTTCCTTGCACCAAATGACAAAAGTGGCTCCAAGTAACTCAGAGATGTGAAATGAATCCAGAGATGTAAAATCATAATAGACTAAAAGACTTCCTGAGGCAATTGGTACATTCCGGTATGCCAGTAGTGAGAGTTAGTAAGGTAACCAAAGAAGTCTTTTGGAAGATACCATCCGTCTCAGCTCTGAATATAAAGCATTCTATTCATAAACTGACCTAGTTACTGTATAATAGTTTTTTTACTGGAAAAAAGGAGAGCAAGAAGAGAAGGGAAAAGATATTTGGGTCCTTTGTGTTACAGGACTTACTTGTAAGGGAGAATATTTGGGTCTTTGTATGTCATCAAACAGTCAAGTGCTATTTTCTGGATTTCTTGATCTTTATGGCACAGGAGCTGTGGGTTTAGAGAAAGAATTAGTCTCACTTGGACGTTCACCAAGTATTAATAAGGAGAATTCCCTTTAAAACAAAGCTGGGAAACCATACCTGGGTGTACAGCTCACTAAGATTTGCCTCCATGTATAAAGATTTCGGGTTAGTGAACTTGGAGAAGACCTTTAAGTGAGCAATGAGCTGCCTGAAACAAAAACATAGATTCACACGTTTGTGTAAGTTCTTCAAGTAGGTACCTAGAAAACAAAAACAAATGTTTTTTTACTTGGCTGCTGCTCTTCTTGGTATCTTCTTCTTGAATTTTTTTGAATCTTCCTCTTCATCAACTTCCATGTCAGCATCTACATCTTCACCCATTCCCTGCTCTGATGAAGAGCTGCTTTTCTTCATGAGGTCCTGAGTGGGAGCCACCATCAGGTCAGATGGGTAAAACTCATTACTGTGAACACAAACACCACAGAGAAAAATCTGTTATGGAGAACTAACTAGAGAGAAAAATAGGTTGATGCCATAAAGCTCACACACACCTGATGAAGCGCAGCAGTAATGGGGTGAGCTCTCGGCTACGTGGCTCCACTCTTTCGGGAAACTGGGACATGGCTCGCCAAAGCAAGCCACGGAAGTTTGTGAAGTCTGTTCGCTCAATGGGATTCAACACCTGGTCCAGTTCTTCCAGAAAAAGAACTCCCACATCCCCGCTCTCGATCACGCTGGTCCCTGGACCTCTGAGCTCCTTTGCGGCTTGATGTTGTCCACCACCTCCCTCATCATCGTCATCATCATCATCTGCCTGGAGCTCTTCCTCTGAGAATAAAGATTCAAAACAGATTCATACATTTATGACTAATGGGAACATATAACAGGTCAACCTTTTAACAAAAGACAATACTTAGAACAAAAAGACAAATAATGTTAATCCCACTAATCGACATTTAACTGCATTGACACTATCAAATGAGAACAAAATTTTAACTGGATAATGAAACAATTGCCTACTGTTACAGTAGAGATGCCTTCATAATTGATCAGCATTGACAGAGTTATTAAACTGAATTGAGCTGAATGACACTCATTGTCTGATATATTAACACTATTATTTTCCTGTTCATTATTGTGTAGTTCTGTATTGTAAACAATCTGTATTGTATAAAGTGCTAATAAATAAATTTGACTGGTCTTGAATTCCTCATCATTGAAAACTCACCAGCTAGACCAGCAACCATCTCCAGATGTTCATGATAAACCTTCCAGAAAGATTTGTTGTCCATTTCTTTAGCGTGCGACCTGGGCGGATGAAAGCGTATCAAACCAAAACTCAAAGACAGAAATAATACAAAGAAATAGAGAATAATGCTGAAGACATGTTTAAAGCCAAAAGATAAAAAAAATGAAACAGACTGTGCACTCAAGCAATGCTCCACACTTACACCAAGAGATCAATAACAGCATCCCAGAGAGGTCGGAAATTGACAAACAGCATTGCAATAAGATAACGAAGAGGAATCTGTAAAACACAAAGATATTTATAGCACAAAATAAAGCTTTCAAAAATGATTTAATATTTGATATGGAGTAAAAGGCATTAGCTACCTCATGGAAAGGTCCCTTAGGCAGACAGCGCTGCACCAGGTCATGGCGAAGTTTCCGAAGATGTAGTAGTTTCTCCCTGTAGTCCTGTACTGTGGCCGGGACCTGCTCTGCCTGCAGACACACAGCGAACACCGTCTGCGCATTTGAGCTCTCCTCTCCCTGAAGAAGAAATTAGTTATTTATTAATAAATACATACATGCTTTGTTTTAGATTTTTGTTGGAAAAACTTACAAATGATACCTCTGCAGATTTAGGAAGGTCAGCATCAAAATTTGACAATATTCTGAGGGTCAACAAACGAATCTGTAGAGTACAAGGAAAAAATTATCCTTTAGAATCTGTAAATTCATAACAGCAGGGTCCACACAGATGAGTAATGAATTTATTACATTCAATATAAAAACATTTTTGGTAACAACTTATTAACATCAACTACATTAGTTAACATGAACTAACAATGAAAAATACTTAAAGCATTCATGAATCTTAGATAAAGATCTCAACATTTTTGCACCTTTTGAGACCTTATTGTAAAGTGTTACCCACTTTTTCAAAATAATTACAAAACTAGAATAAAAGTTATGAACTATAGAAATTTCAGTAACGTTACATAAAAGTTTTATATGTAATATTAAAAAATCATTTTTAATGCATTAAGTATGCCATGTAATGCAACTTATAATGCATTGTATGGTCTCATGACTAATTGCAACCATAATTATAATACTTATTTATTCATTTAAAACACCTTTAAAAAGTACAATGCATTAAAACACATAGCAAACAACAGATTATCTGCAAATATTATAATGCATTTTCACTGGAAACAATTATTTATGAAACATAACTACAATTATGAAATTATTAAATTATGCCACTTTTTCAAGCCTTAAATCCTCCGATATCTCCAGGTTTTTGAGGACTGTGGGAACTCTGAGCTATTCCCACTTAACAACAGCAACCATCACTAGGCTAAACCTGACCTTGGAAATGTTGGAAGAAAAATTGGAATGCAGTTTATGGTACAATTCCAGCAGAGAATCATGGGACAGCTGAGCTGAGGAGCCGTTGAGTGCCAGTCTGGTGTAGTACAGATCTCCTAACAACAGGGCTGAAAGATCAGTGGGGACTTTCCTGTAACAAACAAACAAAAATGCATTTCTTAATTTAACAGACAAGACCCTTTTTTACTGGGATGTTCAGAGCAAATAAACATGTAAAAACTGAAGCACATACTCAATGATGTTTCTGACCAGTTCTACGGGCAGGAGTGACTGTACCGCTGTCGTCTCCTTGAAACTGAGCAGAGTGCTAAGAGCCTGTCGGGCTACAAACAGCCCTCCTGAGGGGACAGAAGGACAGTATTAGGAACATCATTTAACCTAAAAGTAGCTCGAGACAATCATTCACACACACACACGACTGACCTCTCCCAAGAGTTTCACTGCACACCTCCTGCAGTAACCTGTTCAGTAGTACAGTGACGGCCTGTATAACGCTTGATGCTTCTAATGGCCTGTAAAACATTTTAATTGTTGTATATTTACACAAATACCAAATTATACAGCATAAGTTTGGTCCCTTTTTAAAGTCGTCACAAAACAGCAGATTATTGGAGATGTATTGCAAAAGTACTGAACCAAGCATTTATTTTACAATATCTATTTATTATATACTAATTGGTTGAGGATTATAGTAGTAATATAGTATTTTATGCTATTTGACACTCTAGGATTGTGGGTAATTGAGTTTTTACCTGACGTGTGGGAGGAGCACTAGTGCAGCCCATGGATGAGAAAGGTCAGAGAGCGGCTGATCGATGGGGATGTCAATGAGAGAAAGAATCCGCTGGGGAACAGACACCGGCTGGTCTCTTTCAAGTCCTGTAGACCTAAAAGAGAATTTGGAATATATTATTATGCCCTTTTAGAGATTGGTCAACCCAAGTGTGCGCCACACTTCCTGAAAAGTTAAGCCAAAGCATTTTGATCTGCCACTATGTTGATGATGTTGATCGTGTTATTTAACATATGCATAAGATTATATATACCATCGCTTGTTTCAGCATCAACTTCACATGTGTTTTGATCAGGAGATACAGAACTCTTTCAAAAGATGCATAATAACACCACTACCATGTAACAGCAAAAACAGAAAAAGCGTATTTGGAGGTGAAGCGTTTTCTCATAAAAGATGAGATAAACTGTCAATAGAAGTAAAAGAGTTAATGAGGAAACAAATTTTAAAGTGCATAAAACAGTCTAGTTTACCTGAGAGTCTGTCCAGTGAAGACTAATGGGTACTTCTCAAAAGCCATGGATCCGTCAGTGGGGGGCGGAGCTTTGGACAGAATCAAACCAACCAGCAGTTCTAGAACCAGCTGTCGGTTTACGGCGTCCTCAGTGCAGAAGAGCTGCTCCAGGTACTGCAGCAAACTGGGCAAGAACACCTAGAGAAACACACACCAACATTACAAACGCAAGTTGATCTTAAAGATGGTTTCACACCACAGTCCGGCTTTCACTGACCTGCTCAAACTGTTTCATGTCAAACATCTCTTTTGTAAATGACAATATGACGTCTCGGTCCATCCCGCTATGGAAGACCTGCATGAGGGACCAGATTGGAAATGAGGTCGAAAGGAAATCAGACGGATAAGGATTGACAAACGTTTGTGCAAGTGCACACAAAACAAACCTTTTTCACTAGTTCGTGGATGCTCTGGGCAGGCAATGACAGATTATCCCCCATCAACAGAGACGAAACTACTTGTAAAAGCATCCTGGAGCAGGAGTAGGACAGTCCTGGTGCTTGAACTAGCTTCAGAAGTGTCTAAATACAACACAAATGGAGAAAAACATATCAGAGATGCACCAGCACTCAAGGAGAACAGTCTTTAGCCTTATTTGGACTGGACTTGTTTCCAAGAAGGACGTTAGGGAAGTCAGATTTTAATCCCATCCGAATCTGCCATCCCTGTGCTTTTCTCACACAAACTCATTAAAAAAAATCTAGAACAAATCACCTACTGTTTTTCAGCAAACTCAACAGTCCTCTGAGAAATCTAATCCCGTCCGAATGCGGATGTCTGTGATTTCTGATGTTGCATTATTCTAATGCTTCTGCTCATGTGTTTTTTTGACCTAGCTGTGCTACCGTTTATTTCAAAATGAATGGTATCCAACAAAGAAAAATACAATTATAAAACGAGCCAAAACATGGAAACTGGCCATTTTAATATTAGTGTCAGGATAGTTTTTTTTTTTTTTTTTACTTTTATTCAGTTTTTGCTGTTGTGTTTGTTTGTTTTTTTAACATGTTCAATAAAGAGAATTCAATTCAATTCAAAAATAGTAAGAAAATTGACTAGATTTCTCTGAAAGATTATTATATAAACAGCCACTTCTATAAACTTTTACTACTATAAAAAACTATAAAAAAAAAAAGTTAAAGCACAGCACATGAACTTCTGTAACATTCACGTCTAGAAAACACACACTACCACCAACCAATGTGATAAACACTGAGATGTTAGTCCATCCAAATTGGTACATGAAAAATCACAGATATCGAATGGTAAGAACTGTAACTCAAAAATTGTTTAGAAATCTAGGCCCGTCCAAATCGGGGTTTTGAGTGATAGAGAAAGACACACATACAAACCTCACAGACAGACTGTGGTTTTGTAATTTTTGCTCCTTTGCGATGCTCCACAAGTGTGTGGTAGATGTACAGAATCCTCTCCAAGTGTTCATTAGCTTGGTCGCCATCGCTTGTCTCTAACTTTCCAAGAACGTCGTTCAGTGACCCCTGCAACACACACACACAAAGTCCATTAAAAGACAAAAATGATATGAAGAGTTCAGATGCAAAAGCCTCTAAATGCCATTTGAAATTTTCTTCTTTAATGATGATTTTTGTCAAACAAGTATATTTAAGTTCAGTAATTTCACTTAAATAACATTTAATAGGTAATTATCATTGCCATTTAAGTGAAATCACTGAACTTAAATATACAAGCTTGATAAAAATGATCATTCTAGAAGAAAATTTCAAATGGCACTTAGAGGCTTTTGCATCTGAACTCTTCATATATAAATAATAATACTGGATCTTAATATTTTGTCTGCAATGGGATTGTATAAAAATAATTAGTTGAAGTTGCAAAAGAATATTACAGTAATTTATGCAGAATGAAACGTATGCATTTTCATATACACACACAAATGGTATGTTTTTTTTAACGGACATTATAACGTTCATGCATACATGATGCATGTATACAGAAGTGTTTGCTCTCCCTTAAATCAGTTTTAAATGGGTGAATTATTATTTTATATTAAGTAAAAACATGTGTTTAATTTCAGCTATTTGTGTGTTCAGACAAATCATTAATATCAGCTGATTAATTGGCTTGGTTGATGTACAGGTCTATTACAAGTTGTTACTATAGCATCGCATTAACACAACAGAAACGATGACCAATCAGCATCCAAAGTGGGAAGAATCACTTTATAAAAAGTGCATACTATATGCTATGTCAGACAAACTTAATTTAGAGGAAGAAAAAATAAATGTTCTCACATTTAAGGAGTCCCACAGGACTATCAGGTGTTCTTTGTCAACATAGTTGGCTGAAGACTCAGCCATGTGGTCCAGGGCTTCTTTGATCGAGTCCCAAGGTAAATCAACATCCTGTCCGACTGCTGGACCAAGCTTGTGCAACACTACCGGAAGAGCCTGACAACAACAGTACCGTTATTATTAACTGGAAAGCTAAATGTTAACTGTGTGATGCGTTTGGCTTTCCGTGACGTGATCTCACCGTAGATGCACAGGAGTGAAACATGTCACGGACTCCTCGACACATCTCAAAGATCAACTGGCCGGCTCCTCTGGCCTTCTGAGGATGCTCTGACAGGTTGGAGAACACGAGTGTGAAGAGCGTGTCATAATCTGTAACCTTTTGGACATGAAACAGATGCATTAGCTTAAAACAGGACATGATCATACAGAGGACATGATGAAAACAATCCGAAAAGTTAAAGACTCACCTTTCTCATCAAAAAAGAGAAGCTCTCGGCAGCAAAGTTGCGGATGTGTTCCTTCTTGTGCGCCAGAAGTTCACTGTAAAGACTGATTTAGAAAAAGTAACACTTTACAATATTGTTCTATTTGTTAACAACATTAATTTCAAAATTTTCTAATACATTTTTAAAATCAAAAGATGTATCTGCTAATATTATTTAATGGATGTCAGCTGACATGAACTAATAATAAACTTGTATTTTGATTAACTACTGATAAGAAAGGTGAATGAACACCGGTACTGTAATAATGTCTTGCTCATTGTTAGTTAAAGCATTAACTTAACTTAAAGGGACAGATTTGAGAACACCTGGGTTAACTCATTTTAACTAATGACATATTATAAATCTATAAACTGAGACTGAGAATCCAAGTCAGATCAAAAAGTCTGACACAGAATAATCTGGAATATAATCTACAAGCAGTTTATTTCTACTACTCACCTGTATATCTTGTCCATATCCTTCACCATCAACCTCCACAGGTATTTGAACAGGTACGACAGACACGTGAAGGCCCATTCCAACACCTCAGGGTCTTGTGTGTCCAGTATAGATGTGATGATGATGAAGAAATCAGAGAAGTGGGGGTAAAAGTCCATCTGGAGGTCCCGAGCCAGTTGAATTACAAGACTGAAAGCAAGTGTAGGGTTAATATGGCTTTATTGGTCTGTTTATTTTAAAGAAAGACTGAGAGGAACTTACTCCAGAAGAGGCTGGTAAGCCATGTTGTTCTTCACTGACAGGTGGGTCTTCAGACTCTCCACAATGACGTTTTGGTGAAACACCAGCATATTGAAAGACTGACTCTTGCTTGACACCTCTCGAAAAAATATCACTGTAGAACACACGATTAGTTTAATACTCAAAGCAAAACACTTTAATGTCACTACACCATATTCATGACAGTACAGGACGTACAGATCACACAATATTTTAAAAGTATGTACAATATCATCATAAAATACAGTGTATTTTGTCATATTATAAGGACACAGGACTTGGTTACTTACTGAAGTGTTCTGTCAAATTCAAGTCTTTCCATTTTATTAGGGCTTCATAAAAATAAGTTTCTACCTCCTGAAAAAAATAAGTAGCAGAATTAATCAAAAACACATTAAATACTATAATGTTGCTTGCTAACCATAAGTTATACTATCTGATATAAACAAGACTCGTACCTCGTCATAACTTCCAGTCCTGTCAATGCGATGAATGACATCAATGTTTACTTTTGCGAGCCTTTCAGAAAACGTGGCAAACTGTAAAGGAAAATATATGAAGATATCTTAAAAAAGTTCTTGGAAAGTTCCTCACATTACACTAGGGCTTTATTGAAATTTATATATGTCAATTTAATGATTAAAAGCACAGACTTATATCGACCCAATTCAATATGTAAAATTCGTTTCGATATGTTTATGAATAAAACATTTTAATGTTTGCCAGACGCATGAGCAGGAGTCTCCAGCATGCGTTGTTCAATAAACTTACGCGAAAAGTGTTTTCTGATTTATGAGATGTGGGTTTTGCTTTGAGCTTCATTTTGCTGTATTGTCTCTCGACCAAATACAAAAATTAAGAGTATTCCGTGGTTTAAAAAACGAGATGGGTTATCAATTGCTATGAAATTGTTGATACACATGCCGTATCAGGGAATCGCCATCTTGAATGATGCATTATGGGTAAAAACAGGACTTTTACTGTATTTCAAATGAAAGGTCTTACTACGTGTAGAAGTGCATTTGGAAATTTCTATTCATTATTAAAAAAAAAAAAAAAAAACATTTTGTTTTCTTCGATTATACCAGGCCAGGGAATGTTATTATTACAACTGAAACTAAAACCATTAAAAACTTTTCGTTGTTTGAAATTAATTAAACAAAATAAAATAAAATAAAATATTTAACAAACTTATTTTTATTTCATCTACTTGCCAAGGCAACATTTCCTGTTTTATTCAGTTTACCTTGATGTACAAATAAATACAAATAAAACTAAACCTGAAATACAAATTAATTTAAAAAAAAACTATTAAAATATTGACAAAAACACAACAACATTTTTTAAACTTAAACTGAAATTAAAATAAAAATGGAAAATATAAACTTAAAATCAAATTCAAAATATCAATAAAAACAACAATATCTCACTGATAGGCCTACTAAAATAACACTGGTCTACTAAGGGTTTTCAGTTGAAAATATAAAAAATACCAAATGTTTTAAATATATACCTTAACCTATGCATATACATACACAGATGAATAAGGTTAATAACACTAGGCTGCATTTGAAATAAATAGGGAGTGAATTCTCTTTCTGTGTCTCACATACAAGAATAAACACATTATCTAATTATAGAGAAAAAAAAATCATTCCAGCCCAAATGCAGTAAGGAGGAATGAATATGATACGGGTGGGTTGATGACAGGCATGCAGCTCCAGGAACAATCACACTCTCTCTGACTGACCGCACTGCAAAGAGGCTCCTCAGACTCTCATCTCTGACCTAATATCAACAGATCCTGTTAAAGAAACTCAGACGTGCACCAAGATGTCAAGTGGACCCTCCTTCGGTGTGTGGGACTATGTGGTCTTCACCTTAATGCTGGTCGTCTCAGCAGGCATCGGAGTGTATTATGCCTTTGCTGGAGGAGGTCAGAGCAGTTCCGCAGACTTTCTGGTGGGCGGACGGAGTATGGCGGCGGTACCGGTGGCCCTGTCCCTGACGGCCAGCTTCATGTCAGCCATCACCGTTCTGGGGACCCCGGTAGAGGTGTATCAGTACGGAGCCAACTTCATCCTCATCTGCTTTTCTTATGTTCTGATGGTGGCTGTTACTTCTGAGATCTTCCTGCCAATCTTCTACAGACTGGGTATAACCAGCACCTATGAGGTGAGATAAGAGAAAACTGAACTGGAAGGAACATTTTATTGCTGAATTCAGGGCTATTATCGTTAATTAAAACTTTTCGGTTTAAAAAAAAAAAACCACTAAACTAAATGAAAATTAGAAATGTAAGAAAACAAATTAAATAAGCACAATTGCTAAAAATTAAACTAAAATTAACACACAAAAAATATAATAATAAATGCTAATTAAATTAATAAAAATACAATGAAAATTATAATAACAATATTGCTGTTTGAAAATGGTAACTTTATTGAATATATTAAAGATAAAACATTAATGATCAGTTTTATTATCATTAACTAGCAAAAACATTTCTGTTAATTAAAATGAAGCTAAAATATAATAAAAATTAAATGTTGCACTGCAAATTAACTGAAAAAAGATTAAGCCCTGAAAATTATGAACTGGAAATAAATACAAATTTAAACTAACCAAAACTAAAACTGAAATAAAAAATAAATTTGAACCAAGTAAAGCTAATAAAATGACAAAAACATAATATACTAAAAATTCCACTAAAATGAACATGAAAACTAAAAATATAAAAATAAAAGCAAATTCAAAATAATATTAAAGCTTAAACAAAAATTAAACTTATCTAAAATAGTAAGTTTATTCAATATAAACATTTTAAAATGTGTCAATAATGTATTACAATGTCAATGTATTTCCCCCTCTGTGTGCAGTATCTGGAGATGCGTTACAATAAAGTAATTCGACTTTTTGGGACAGTCCTGTTTATCATTCAGACAGTGAGTGTTTTTCTTGCTATTATCAGTCTCACTTAATCATACAGTAAACTTAATGTAGTCAGAGTATTTTCCATCTCTTCTCAGGTACTTTACACTGGTCTGGTTATTTATGCTCCAGCATTGGCTTTAAACCAAGGTAGGATTTTTTTTGCACTTCTACAAATACCAATGACTTTCAAAAGAGGGATTTTGAAGAGATGCCATAGAAGAACCACTTTGGGGTCTTTTAAAAACATTATTTTTTTAATATAAAATACATTTTGATAATCTAAAGAACCTTTTTTTTTACTATAAACCTTTTGTGCAATGGAGATTATTCATGGAATTAGTATGCCAATAAAGAACCTTTACCTTTTAAGAGTCGAACTGCATTATTTGTGGAGTGCATGGTGTAACAAGTATGCTTGATAAAGTGCAGCAGCACTCTATGGTCAAGTGAACTCTCTCCTTTCTCTCTTGTCTCAGTCACAGGTGTGGATCTCTGGGGTGCCGTCATTTCGACTGGAGTCGTCTGCACCCTCTACTGTACATTAGTAAGTTAAAAAGAGAACTGCACGATTCGAAATAAACTAAGAATCACAATTTTTGGTTTTGTTTAAAATTAGTAGTAGTATTTTTTAAATGGTTTAAATGAATGATTCAATGACTAACTCATAAAGACTTCAATTGTTTCATTATTGGATTAATCAGCATTTTTGAACAAATCTCTTGCATTGATCATTCACATTAGGTGACATTTTAACAGTCACCTACTGGTGTAACAATGTTATTGATACAATCTTTATTTTTTTATTAAGCTACTTTCAAAAGGTATTTTACTCTATTTTCATTGATAATATTGGCATTTCTTTTTTATATCCTTAATCACTTAACAAAAACAACTGGAAAAGTCATGGAGCCTTCAAATATTGTTGTGAACAACTGAATTGCACTGATACAGAACTGTCTCTTTACCTTGGCAGGGCGGTCTGAAGGCGGTGGTGTGGACGGACGTGTTCCAGGTTGGCATCATATTGGCAGGTCTTTTGGCTGTCATTGTCCAATCAGTACTTCTGCAGGGCGGGATCTCCACTATCATCAGTGACTCCGCTCAGGGCGGCCGGCTTAACCTATGGGAGTAAGTTGTGACATCACTGACAGGTACAGGAATGCATAATTAAACACTTTGTCATGTCATGTCCAACTCCTTTCAGCTTCGATCCAAACCCTCTGAGGAGACACACATTCTGGAGCATCACAATAGGAGGGACGTTCCTCTGGACCAGCGTCTATGGCATCAATCAAGCTCAAGTACAGAGATACATATCATGCAAGTCTCTGTTCCATGCCAAAATGTGAGCATTGCACCAAAAAATAATTCTCGAATTCACACTGAAAAAGAATGTAATGTGTAACTGAACCTTTTTGTGTGTTTGTGTATGTCTGTCGCTATCCAGGGCCTTATACATTAATTTAATGGCTCTCTGTGCTATTTCATTATGCTCAGTATTTTGTGGCTTGTGTTTATACTCCGTTTATAAGAACTGTGATCCATGGACAGCCAATAAGGTGTCTGCACAAGACCAGGTACGCCACAAACCACATACATCTCAAATCGAATGTAACAACATTATAATCTGTGAATGTATTGATGCTATTACCAATCAATATGCAACATCAATGTCTCTCTCTTTAATATACAATAAGCTTATGCCATACCTGGTGTTGGACATCCTGAGCGAATACCCTGGACTGCCAGGACTGTTTGTGGCAGCAGCATATAGTGGCACTTTAAGGTTTGTTTTCTACAGATCACCTACAAAAAAGTACTTTCATTATTAATTACTCACCCCCTTGTCGTTCGAGCCCCATATCCTTCTGTGGAAAACAAAAGAAGACATTTAGCAGAATGTTCAAGCAGCTCTTTACGATATAATGAAAATATGGTTTAAAAAAGTACCATTAAACTATATCACTCATGCTATTCTTCTGAAATGTTACAATAGTTTTGTTGTGAAGCAACATAATGAAGATTAAATATAAAATCTTAATGAAAACACTAGCATGAACTAGCAATGAATACTTCTATATAGCATTTATAAACCTTGGTTAAGGTTTATCTATTTTTAAAATTTGTATATGTTAACATTAATTAGTTCACTGTGAACTATGAAACATGAACAAGCAATAAAACACATGACATAAACATATACCCAAAGAATTCGTCTCTATCAGAGCGTAAACTTGTACCATGTGACATCATTAGTTCCCTCACAACCAATATGATGGTGACTTTAAGTGATAATTGCTTTCAACACTCATACCAAATGCTTTACATTAGCATTTATTTATTCTCTACAGTACAGTCTCCTCCAGTGTAAATGCTTTGGCTGCGGTAACTATTACAGATCTGATGCGTCCGTACCTCAGTCTGTCAGAGAGACAGCTATCCTGGGCTTCAAAGGGCATGAGTGAGCAAATGTCTTCCTTTAGAAATGAATAACAAATAATCAGTTATTCCAACTACTAAACTGATGTTTCCTAATCACAGGTTTGTTTTATGGTGCTGTGTGCATTGGAATGGCTGGTTTTGCATCTTTGATGGGAGGGATGCTACAGGTGGGTTACTGAAGAATTATATGTGAAAATTACAGGGTATAATCCTAATTTTCCTGTCGGTTTGTCCCTCAACAGGCCGCTATTAGTATTGTTGGAGTGATTGGCGGACCTCTACTGGGCCTCTTCTCTCTTGGCATCCTGTTTTCATGCACCAACACAAAGGTTATGGCAGCTAGATTTTATCCCAATAAACGTCACCCCTATTTTTAAACTTAGATCTGAACTTGGCTTGGTTGTAATATGAAGTTTTGAAATGCAGACATAGGTTACATATTCTCTTTTCAAAGAAGACCCTCAGCAGATTTTTTCAATGTGAAAACTGTCTAACCAAGTTGTGTTTCAAATTTGATGTTGATATCATAAATGTTGAGCATGCTAAAAAGTTTAAAGGTATAATTTCCATGGTAAAGCAATGTCTGAATGTTCAAGCATAAGCATTTGAATGATACTAATTAATGGTGATTATTAAAATATGTGAAGGGTTTCTGCAGGTTTATGAAGGTACATTTTAGACCTTTTGAGACTTCTTTAAGATCAAGTAAAGAACATTTACCTCTGGTTTTACAAAGCTTAAAGCTAGCTCCAGACTAAAATGCATGTTTGAGCTGTTTTAACTGAAAGCATATGTCAGTGCCATACTTTTGTCTCAAGATGCACACCAGTAATGTTTTTTTTCAAGGCAATGTTTATAAGAAGCCACTTATTAGATTTTTTGTGAAAGGATGAATTTTTCTTTATAGAATGCAAAAATATAGTGGTAATTACAATGGAAAGTGTGTCTGTTTAAGGGAGGTTTGGCAGGGCTGTTGTCTGGTTTGGCACTGTCACTGTGGGTGAGCATTGGAGCACAGATATACCCTCCGCAACCAGAGAACAGCAGACCGTTGCCTCTGATGACACACGGCTGTAACTTCTCAATGGCACCAGATGGCACTAACTGGACTGCAAACATGGACGACTTCATACTGAAAGAGAAGAATCTACAAAGGTGGGTTGTGCAAACCATTCGAGTCAAAATCTATTGGCTGATATGTAACGAGATCCATTTCTTAACAGGCCTTTCCTGGCTGATAATTGGTACTCGCTCTCATACCTGTACTTCGGCCCATTGGGGACTGTGACGGTCATCGCCGTAGGGCTTATTATCAGCATACTTTCGGGTATGAGACATTCCAACATGTGAAGCACTCTGCATAATGCTGTCGTTGTTCAGAGTAACTGATGTTTTCTAAATTTGTGTCTCCAAGGGGGCAGACAGACGAAACTTCAGCCTGGACTCATGCTATCAAAAGAGGACCTCACCTGCTACAAAGCCTACAATGTATTTAAAGAAAAAGTGAGTATCCATTTTATTGTATGTGTCTGCATAAATTGACATATATACTCACATTATTCCCATAACTTTTTCCATTTTGAATTATTTGCACTAAAAGGTTTCCGGCAGTTCGGGTAAGCTTGACCTGGTGCGGGAGCTGGAGAAATCTTTTGGAAAAACCAACCTCGCTTTCTGTGATGTAGAGTTATCTACTCAAACTTCCTTAAAACACCATTAAACTGAAGGGTCTTTAAATATACATACACACGTCACACCTATTAAGAAACATTATTAAATTAACAGCTAAATGTAACAAAGATGTAGTAATAGTACAAAAAAGAAACATTTATGTCCAGATCTGTTATAGTGCAACACATCAGATACAGATTTTCAAAAACTTTTGAGACACATATAGTCTGGCACTTGTGACAGAAAGGATCATTGATTAATGCTCTGGTTCGTAATAGCGTTTCTTCATAGCTCTGTATTTCCTGAGGAAGTAAAGTGCCTCGAGTTCTTTGATCACAAATTCTCCACGGTCAATCAGCTTTTGGATTTTCTCAGGATCGGTGACGTCTTTGTTCTTCATGAAAGCAGCTTTCAGACGCTCCCTGAAGTATGTGGTGCCTTTTGGATATTCCCGTCCAAGATACAAAAGCTGCAGAAAATAAATTAATAACCAAAACAATGGGTAATCGTTATTACAATTTCACACATCTTCTGTTTATTTTGTGACTCTGCTGCCATGCAATATTGTGACTAATAAAGATGACATTGTACCATTGAACAATATTTCATATTAAAAGATAAAATGTATCAAGAAAGCAGAAGGAAACTGTCACTTACATTTTTGTACAATCTGACCACCTCTCCTCTCAGTGGATTAGTCATTTTAACTTCTTTCTCTTGATCCTGAGAATAAACCTAAAACAGACAAAGAACAAACAATAATATACCACAATATTATATTATATCCAATAGCACGCAACACACAATTACACACAAGAATGTGGACTGAAATTCCCCTTGTAGTCTACATTTATATATTGTAAGGTTATGGTAGGTTATACGTTAATAGGGTACTAAATGTCGACGTACTGAGGTAAAAACATAATGTTCAGTTGGGTACATGAGTTAGTTTTATGTTGGCTGCTTTATTACAGTGTTTGCTCACCTACAAGACCATGGCAGAGGAGTTTTCCAGGACGTGCGGGGGAAATGCCATAACATGGATACTTTTCTGGACGCTGGAAGCGCAATGGCTACTTCACAAAATAAAAGTCTGGTCCCATTTTTCAAAATAAAAGTCATCTAACTCTAGAAACATGATTTTTTAGACGATTTTCTTTTATTCTATATTTTTATATCTTCAGCAAGAATGAGATATCACAGGCAACATTATTTTTAAACATATTATTTTTATTGAACAGCATCTATAAACGCCACAATATAATCACTTCCAAAATAGCTTAATCCAGTCCAAAATACCGTCCTACATCAACCCCATTCAACATGAAAATAATTATACTGATTTACATTCTCACACACCTCTCTTCATACTTATACACAAAATATAAATAGACTTTGGTCCTATTCTTAGAATATTCCTCTGCATTAAACCATATAGTGTCCAGTCATTGACTGTAGGCTAGTGTTCCCAACCGTTATCCAGATGAATTGCAGCTCTTCTTCCTGTACAGAAGCAAGTAGGCCGCGTTGCTTCTAGAACGGTATAAAAAATAGTAATCAAAAACTGGAAGATGTTACAAAATGAATAAAGCAATAATTATTTAGCGGGCAAGATGACCAGTACTGCTATAGGTGAAAAATTACCCTTCATATGTGCTCTGCACGTCTGCCCATTTGGCCTGAGACAAATTAATGATAATATAATTACTACACTAAAAAACAATACAATAGTATTCTAGTCAGTCTCTTTCTCTTACTGGTCGCACGGAACAGTCATCGGCATAGTACCACGTCTGGTCCTCCTGAACTGGCCTGATGTAAGCAGTGTAGTGACCAAACATAGCAGATCCTATATGAACTATTACTGCATAGAGACTGTAATGCTCATCAGCCCTGGGAGAATCATTCGCAACCTACAACAAGGATACAACCATTTCAGCATATACAATTATTATAATGACTACTATTATTCTTTACAAAATATACTACACATGCATTTTCTGGTTGTCCTGCAGCAAAAATGCCTGATTTAAAATAATCAGGGAAGGTGACTTTGCTGTCGAGCTTCCTGGTGACGCCACGATCGTTTCTGAATCTTTTCAAGTGGACACACAGGATCAGAGGCAATGAGACGAGTTTCAGTCCCTACATGACAAAAAAACAAAAAACAAAACAGAAAATCAAACAGTTAACCCAAAAGAGTCAATTAAGTTTAAATCTGTAGCACTTTATCATTCATATGTACTTATTATAGTAATTGCAATAACTAGGTACTACCATTACATACATTTATTCAATTAGCTGACGCTTTTATCTAAAGCAACTTACAATTGCTATGTCAGAGGTCACATGCCTCTGGAGCAACTTATATTGTCAAAAATGTACATTACGAAATATTACATAGTTTGATTATAGCAAGAAAAAAACAAAAAGCACACACATGAGTGGATGGCTGCTTCTGTTCACACTGGTTACAGTGATACTTGTCACCATTCACCAGGTTTTGAGACTGGAAAAAAGAGTTTATGCAGCTCTCCTGAAGAACATAAGAACAATACAATGGTATTACTGATGTAATTACTGACAAAACATAATTAATGAATGTTTAACTTGTTTACCAGGGTGTTTTCCTTTTCACTAATTGCCAGAGGAAGGCTGAAAAGAGAGTTGGGCTCTCGTTGAATGAATGAGCAATGTGAACATTGCACCTGTGTCTCCACCTTTATCTCATAGAGACTGCGGATTTCCTGAGCCTGAAAGGATGAAGACATTAGCATTTTGAATATTCTCATTTACAAGGTTCACACTAAACCCAATTTGTACACATCTGTTTTTAATGCAAACCCACCAAGCCAAGATCAGAGATCTGTTTCTGAATGAGATTGAGGATAATGTGGAAGATTTCATCCGCATCCTGTTGAGTGCCTCCTACAGCACAAAAAAAAAAAAAAAGAATACACTCAGAATGACACTATTTTCATAAGATCAATTTTAGGGTGATATGATGCATACGGCGGATGGCGTGACGGTAGAGGCTGTCCAGGAAGTCTTTGTGCGGAGCAGGATGTGATTTATCCCTCATGGCTAATAGGGCATTCTTTAACCGCTGTGGGATGTTACTCTGTTCAATCTCCTCAGATGGACACCATCTTTAAATGACAGGCATTTTTGAAAAAGTTATTTAGCATCATATGGCTATTTTTTAAGTGTGCAAGCATATTCAATAGATGGAGCTTTACTTGTTCAGTATGTCCAGTAGTTCAGTGGTGGCAGAGAAGGACTGAAGCAGAGAATTCACACAACAGGACAGACTGTAGTTGAAAAGACCTCTCACTTCTGAAACATCAACTCATATTTAAGATAATTTGGTTAGTTCCAGCATTAGTGCATTAAAAAAATGATTCAGGAGACTGAATTACAGCAATTCTCAAATGAAAACTCGTCATTTATTCATCCTCAAGATGTTCCAAACCTGAATGAAGTTCTTTCTTCTACTGAACACAAAGGAAGATAATTTGAAGAATGTCAGTATGCAAACAGTTAATGGGCCTTGACTTTCATAGTAAGGAAAAAATACTATGGATGTCAATGAGGCTCAAGTGTTTGATTTCTGACATTCTTTAAAATATCTTCTTTTGTGTTCAGCAGAAGAAAGATATTCATAAAGGTTTGGAACATCTTGAGGGTAAATCAATTACGACAGTTTTTAATGTTTGTGTGAACTATCCCTTTAAAACAGAATCCTATATGGATTTTAACAGCAAAACGCGTTCTGTGTGAACCCTTCGTTTGCCATTATATCTAATGAAAAAGCTAAATTAAATTCCAAATTTCTTTTTGAGTATGGTTTAGTGCTGTTAGCTCTGCTGCTGACTTACCATAATAGCTGCAATATGTGAAGCGTCTGTATTGTCGATAAGACATTTTACTCCAGAACTCTCCCATATGACAGCTTCTCAGTGGTGGACAGCTTCGCAGAGGTGAACACAGTTAGTGTTAAACTGCACATTAGTTGAAACTGAACTAAGCTTAGGCAATATTTACCTTCCTCAAAGATACTTCAGCTCCCGGGTTACTCGTAGCAACAGTCAGTCGAGTTTCAGACATAAACGGCTGATTTTACTTTCACTTTCAATTCACGCGTCAGTTTCTGTCAGTCACGGTACGAAACTAACACGCAATTTAGAATACATAATTAGGCAACATTTTAAAACAACCTTAGTTAACACAGTTTACAATAAGGTCTTATTAGTTAACTAAATTAAATAACGACCTATACGTCACAGTATAATTATTTAGTTCACACTAGTTCATAAAAATACAATTGTTATTATTTCATGTCAGCTCATTGAATATTTATCAAAAAATATGCAAATTTTGATTTTAATATATTAGATGCTTTTGAATTATTTTCATGGATAAATCATGTCAATAGTTAACTAACTCTCACAGGTCATTGTTTTTAAAGTTTGCGTAGAGAGAACTTAAGAGTTTTCTGATAAAACGGGAAGTGAATCAATCAAAAATAACTTTAGCTGGAAAATAACTATTCTAGAGCTGCCATAAAGCCAAAACAATCTCTGTCTTATCACTGTAAAGCCTCTTTGGAACAATCTACATTGTTAAAAGCGCAATACATGAAGATGACTTGACTAAAGTTAACAAATAACCTTACGGTAAAGTGTTACCCAACTGTTATTTTTATTATTATTATCAAACATTAATCACCATTAGGCCTACATTTTTTAAATCAATAGAAATATCAGGAAATTCTAATACACATTTTTAGATATAGGCTATATTTGAATGTACATAAACCTCTTCATTTTTAATTTAATAAAATGACATTTAAAAATACATATTAATGAACTTTTAATTAACAGTTTCTTAAGCCTTAACCGTGACTATATATTCACTAAAGTTGTATGTACAAGTACAGATGCACAGGAACTCATATATATATACATTTTATTACACAAAATAAATTACATGTGATCTGCATTAAATATTTCTCTATATCAGCACTATCTTTGATATAATTCATTGATTTATCTATAAAATAACTATATTCACAAACAAATTGAGCAAACACAGGATCTACAATTTTGGATGGCAACATTTTCTCACAGTTCAACTCCAGTAACTCTAACTTCTGTTGTTGGCTCTGTAATAAGGTCCAAACATGGTGTTCCACGTCTGCTGAAGGAGTCTATGCAGCTGGAGCAACCATGGGAAAGCTGAGGGAAGAGCTGAGAGCAGAGCATTATTTCAGGACAGGCTATAGTCAGTCATTATTAAGAATGCACTTCATAAAGAGAGGTCTCTTACCTGGGTCTATGCGAACGAGAAGAAGATACACCAACATTAAAGCCAGAAAAACTCTGTGCATAGAGATGGATCTAATTCTCACACTGGCTACTGAGAGACCTCTGTATAACAGCCTCACTATAGATTTCAGTCGCTGGTTTGATCTCTCTGTCAATAAAACATTGTTGAACCCATTAGTTGCAAAATAAAAATGTATAATATACTTTGAATCTAAAGATACTGCAGAATTTGTTAGATATATAGCATTTTGACTCTAAATAAATAAATAAAAGAAAGTCACCTTGTTGTGAAGTACTAGTCGTTGCCACCACTGCTACAGATTCAGGATTTGAATTGGACGATGCTGCATTTTTCTCATTCTGAATGTCTACTAAACTACAGACTGCTTGTATCTGTTCATCACTGAATGCCACCCGACCCACATTGCTCTCTAGCAATTCCAGAGCTTCAGTCGTGTGACCCATCGGAATCAGTATGTGGAGAAAATACAGCTCAGCCACAGTGCTGAAGCCTGATTGGGTCATGCTACCAGAGCAGTGCAGCCAATCACAGACCGCATCCTTCATTACAGCCTGTTCACCCACTTTCACATAGAGTAGAATGCTGTGAAACACATTTAATCTACATTAGGTGTTATCTAGTGGTACTTCACCCACATTCAAACTGCTATTTGATGTTATTTTTGAGATTAAATGGCAGAATCTTCTTACCACATTTGAATAATCTTGGCAGGAATTTTCTCTGTTTCTCCATACTGCTGCAAAACCCATGACAGAACTCCACGCCACTGATTGAGCTCTGCCAGTGCTTGAATCCCCACTATTGTCAAAGCTGCTTTCAGTTCTGCATACTTGAAGCTGTGGGGACAAATATTTAGTATGAGATTAAAAATGGTAAATTAATGAATCCTCATAGTGTTAATAGCTGTTAACAGTCCGTTTAACTCACCAGCAGTGCTGGGTAAGTAATCAGATTCCAAAAATTAAGTACTTTAAAAAGTACTGAAAAAATTAAGTACTTTAAAAAGTTTTAAAACTTTGGTAGCCTATCACCTCCTGACAAACACATTGTTATTTGAATGGTCACTCAGTGAGTCATTTAACCATGTATTACTGTCTTTTGTCTTTCATTTTTACATGAAATGCAGGGATTCCCCAACCTTTTTGTCAGTTTAACCTCTTACTAAGCTAACCTAATATATTTAATTAGTCCCTGATATTTTAAATGAATAAATTAGGTCAATAATAAAATAAAGTTCATGGTTCTCTGTTATCAGTTAAAGGTCTCATGACAAACAGGTAAACCAAAAAAGCAAGTGTTCTGCAAACTGCACCATGAACCCAGTCTGGGAAACCTTGAAGGAATGTAATGTTTAATGCACTTCATTTTGTTGATAAAGAATGGACTTTTATTTTTCTCTTTGTATTTTGCAAAAACAGTACGGTAGGCTACAAGCTTCTATTCAAAATGAATCTAAAAGTGGTCAAATTATATTACCTTAAATGTGTGATATAATTGATTACGTTTCTACTAACTACAATTTTTGATATGTAACGTTCATTTTGGAATCAGTCACCATCTACAATTTGTAAGGACTGTCATCTACCCAGCACTGCTTACCAGTTTTCCTCCTGTTCTGCAGAAGAGCCCAAACTCTCAAGCCCTTTCTCGCATGTGTCCAGAGCAGCCTGAAAGTCTTTCTTTACCATTAAATATTCAACGGCAGCGTCCACCGGAGAGGCAAACGGACACGCGGGTGGGCTGACCAGCCGAACCGAGGCCGAGCCACGACTGCCCGCCAGAGACATGGACGAACTGCTCCTCATAACGGACTGCTATTGAGCTGTTAGTGCATTACAGACTTAATATCCAAGTAAAAAATAGTTTGGAATAATTTTTAAATAAACGTTCAATGTCATTAATTCATTTAAAGACTACACGTGGATCATATCCATTAAGTAAACAAAAACAGTTACACAGAGCCACTTCCGCAATGAAGGAATAAGAAAATGCCCGTCAAAATAAAAGTCGATAACTAAAAAGTTAAATATCGACAAAAAAAACAAACAAAAAAAACTCACAAAATAATAATAATAAAAAAATATTATAGTAATATTATGTAGACCAATTTTATCTGATATTTTACTTATTTGTTATTTATTTTATAAATACATTTTAGACTTTCTCCTTTAACAAAAATATTGATAAAATAAAAATATTTTGCACACACAAATGTATACAAATGCCATTTGGAAAATAAATTTAAGCAAATAATACATGATGTCCAAAAGAATACAAAGGTGCATTAATTAAGGCTGGGGATGTCAAAATGACATCTTTAATTCTTGACGTCTACAGTGTACATATATTAAATTATCACATTTGTAAGTCATGATTTCCCAAATCTTATCAACTCAGTATTGACAACCAAACAAATAAATGGTTAACTTGTAATCTATGTTCACTCATTGGCAACTTCTGCATCTGACAGAAGAAGCTGACCTCTGTCAATCAATAATTTCATCAGTTCTTTCCTACGTCTCCATGTCACCCTCAGCCCATAGTCTTTTTCAGGCGTGTCCTTCACCAGGATGCTTGTGTTCTCGGTTCGTGGAGGAGTTTTTGCCAGATTTGAGGAGAAAAGGAGATGTTGAACATTGGTTGGAGAAGTGCTGGAAACGTGTGGCATTTCTGGCGTCTCAACATTTGGTGGTTCTGGAACTGTGCTGTGCTGTGTGTTGGGTGTGTGAATGGAAGCTTTATTCATTCCTTTTCCATTTTTACAGAATGAAACGCAAGTACGCCTGGAGGAAGCAGATGTAATACGTCCAGCCATCTTCCTCTCCACCCCTTTTCGAGGAAACTGAGTTCTTCTTGGGGTTTCTTGAAGTTCCTTGCGATGACTGTCTGAAGAAACGAGCCTATCATTTTTCGTCCTTGAACTACGAAGGTTTTCACGTCCTGTGGTTGCATTAAAGGACAAGGGAGTATATTTGCAGCCCCTTGTTTTTCTAGCCGAAGGTAAACCCAAACCTGACACCTTGTTTGTGATTTTCGTACCTGCCTTGTTAGCTCTCTTCCCTCGACTAACCGCCGTGGTCTCAAGTGAATTAAACTGAGGAGACACCTATAAACAAAGAATATGCAGTTTATTAAAAACAAGAATTCACTCATAACATAAAAGTAAGGGTTGCAAAGCATGCACATACCCAAGAGGTACATGGTGCACCACTTTGCTGTTGTTTTTCAGATATAAATGACCTGGGATGAATGGCACTCCGTAGTTGTGTTCCATATTCATGCTTTGGTCCATTGATGGGTGCTTCTATAAACAACAGCTGAGATTTGTGCGGGTTCAACAGTCTCTTCTTATGTGAAGTGCGTGGCATTAGAAGACATGATATGCTGCATTAAAATGAAAACAACATCAAATCAGGCAGAGAAAACTACTAACGTTACTACTACTACTCTACTGACAGTGCAATGTAATGTGTCAAGCAGGGAGACAACTTGTAAGACACTGACTAGTAAAACATTTAGGTGCCTAACAAGCTTTAATACTCATGCAAAACGTCTTATTTAATATAATTAGCATGATGTGATCATATGTTTCATGCACTGTTCCGGTGGTTGCAATACTTTGAACTATAGAGAAAGTTCGCACGTGGGTTAAATACATGGCATGGAATGAAACCTTAGATGATACTCACGCATCGCTTCCTATTTCTTCTTCTCATTCGCATTGTATTTTTTCTTTGGACCATGTACATTTGACAAAGAGATTGATAAACCGTCTGCGAGTTTGTGGGAAAGTCCACCCCCCATTCACACAGTCATATCCCTCCAACAAAAGAACTGGAAGTGGCTTGAATGTTAGCACCACAAGAGGCGGGACTTAGTGGCCCGGACGTTGTTTTGATTGGTCAAGTAGGATGATTCCAAATATTGTAATTCTTCATTGTGGGCTTTTTATAATTT